AAACCCAGCCCGGGGGGTGGGCGGTGGCACTAAAAAAAAATGCAGCAGAACGACCAGAAAAAAGCCCAACGGAAAACCAGATCACACAATGAACCTATACTTACCACCACGACTTCGCCAACATACAAAACCCCGGAAGAAAGAAGCCAGTTTATCATTTGTTCCCCAAAGGCTGAAACCCACCCCCAAAACCCTCCTTCGCCAACCCACCCCCAAAGTTGAAAGGTGGGTTTGTTCCCAAACCGCCAGCCGACCGCTCGCTTTGGAAGTTCCTTCCCCTCGACCCCTCGATGCTGTCGGATGCCTTGAGAGGGCGCACCACCTCTTCCCAGCTCACCCCTCCGGCGATGCACATGAAGAGGCTGAGCATGGTCTCCTGAAGGGATCGGGGCATAGGTGACTTGGTTGCTGTAAGGACCCCCCGGCAAACAGTGAGTTTCACTTTTTGGGGGTTTAGTCGAAAACCCAACTTGATTTCCCCAACAATTAAAGTCTAAAGATCCAACCCAATAGCAGTCAAGGTGACCTGTTGGAAGAATAGATGGGTTTCCCTGGTAGTCGAAAACCCAACTTGATTTCCCCAACAATTAAAGTCTAAAGATCCAACCCAATAGCAGTCAAGGTGACCTGTTGGAAGAATAGATGGGTTTCCCTGGTAGCTGGAATAGAACCCATCTAAAGCAGCGTACATCTATTTCCAAACCGACCTACAAAGTACACCATGGATTTGGTGAAAGGGGAGTTGTGAACAAGGAATCTGGATTTAGTTCAGATACGATGGATTCTCGAAATATTGCAAGTAGCCTCTTCTTCAAGTACCATCGCCTTGTTCGCCTTGTTCAGTAGGTGGCTTTGTTTGAAAGCCGATCGGTTGTCCATGGTAAATACCGATCCTTTTTTAGTAAAGGGTTGACAAATCATACCAACTGAAAAAGCTGGTTGGTATTTGGAGGTGGTCCGGGGGTCATCAAATAACCCCTGGTAGATATTACGCTTGCCTCAAAAGTCCGAAAACTGGTTGTTTAGACCTAAAACCCAAAAAGCACATTCAGTCCAGGAAGTCAGGGAGTGAGTGTTAATCTCCCCCGGTTGCAGAAAGGATCTTCATGGGAACTCGGGATGCATAACCTCGGACGCAGAAAAAAACACAAAAAAACATGGGAACTCGGAACTCATAACCCCCGAAAATAAGCAGTAGAAAGCCTCGGAGGCGGCTGTCGACAGTGTCCCATCTTTTTTTTGCCGTCGACTGGGACCCGAAAAAGGCGATCGTCGATGATCACCTCCCCCTCCAAAGCCCCTGGGCTCTGGAAGAAGTTCCTTAAGCGGTACCGTTTCTCGGATGGCTTCCATGGCAACGACAGGGCAACAGGATGGATGTTTCAATATGATTCGTTGTTCCCTCAGCTGCTTTCGGTTTGGACCAGATGTGTTTCAACATGTTTCGTAATTCAGTTTGGCACCAAATCCCGAACCAAATCCTAAAACCATAACGTTTATTGGCGTGACCTGGGCACATAACCTCCAAATACCCCCGCTTTTCTATTTGCTGGTGCGCAGTGGGGAATGACCTAGGGTTTGGGAATGAACCGTTTGGGGTTCCCTTCGGTGTTCCCAAGACGTACCAACCAAAAATGCGGCTGGGTATTTGGAGCGTTTGATAAGTTCACACTGGAAGCCGAGGGAAGAGAAAGGGACCGCTCCCAAGTCTCTGACGAAACCGTTGCGGCGACAAATCGGAAATTCCAAGGCCAAACTGGGCAACCAAACCCTGGGCATGGTAGCAACAAAAAAACTGACTTTTTTTTTACAGCCCGCGAAAAAATGAACAGAAACAAAAGACCGGAAGAAGCTTAAAAACCATGGCAGCAACAGTGAAGGGAACATACCGGACATTCTGTCTCTGCTGTCATATTTAGTTTAACATACGACATGAGAGCTAAAGAATGCTCTTTAGAGAGACCCGCCCCACCCCCCGCGTTTTGTTCCATCCCTCCGCCCCGAGGCCGGGTACCCCTTTTGCTAGCGGCGTTTTTCAGGGAAGCCAAAAGGGAAAGCATTGGCTTCCCATTTTGGGGGTCCAAATCCTCAGTTGCCCCGTTGGGCAGGAATACAAGGGGCCATGACTGAACATGGACTAAAAAAAAAGAAAGCAAAGGTCAAAAGGTCGGCTTTGGGCAACTGAGAACCCTAAGGACAGGCAAGAGCAACCAACACAAAAACCAATCAAGGGCGAAAGCCATCGATGAAAGCAAAGAACACCCCCCAGTTGCGTTGTTCGCCCCCTGGAAAGGATGATAATCTTATCTCCGGCGAAATCGACCCCCTTTAAATCCCAAGTGAACAACATCTTCTGGAAAGCAAATGGAAGGCTAGAGCGCTTTCCTTCTTTCTCGCACTTGCGATTTGGCAGCCACGGGTGGATGCATAGCTAGATGGGCCCCGGTAAACAGCGGGGCCTAATGGTTTTTGGGGCTGGGGGAAGGGGCACATCGACATTGCGAACTAGGGCTTGATTCCTTTTCCATTCTTTTCAACCATCCTTCTTTTGAAAAAAAAAGGATATCCGTTTTCCCGATCGGGCTTTTGGTGTTCTAGAAAGATTGGGATCCCCGGGTTTAGAATGGAAATGGAAGCTACCCTGAGAAAACTGGTCGCAGCCTGGGATCGGGGACCTGCAGAAGAACTTGCTCTTGTGCTCCGCGGCTCCGACAGAAGAGAGGAAATCGAGCCCTTCACATATGTCCCTTCACATCAAGGTCATCCAGAGGGCCTAGAATAAGTTGGGTACCCCAACTTTCTTTCGTGTTTCGTCGATTTGAGTAGGGGAACCGAATCAATCGCCCAACCAAAAAAAAGGTAGAGAAGGTGATCGCTGGGGGACCTAGTCAAAGGAACCCGACAAATCTGCAAAGTGTTCATTCTCCTCCCCTCCAGCCCGGGAGTTTGTTCACAGAAAACAAGTTGCAAAGTGCAAAGATCCACTTCCATTTGCTTAAGCCCCCCGTTTCTTTTTCATGTTTTTTTTTTTTTGTTTAAAGTATTTTGTCTAATGCCCAGTAGTGATAGGTCCCCTGTTAAAACCAACAGGGGACCATCACGAAAATATTCTTGAGCAACTGAAAGTCCAAACCCCCGCTCCCCCTGCTCGCCTCGAGCGTGCCGAAGTACCTCTCGCTCGCCTCGCGCGAGCGATGCCCCGGGCCGAAACTTGGACCCTTGGCAGGGCGTGCGGTCCTGGGTTGAAGGGGCGTGGTTTGAAAGTTTGGTGGTTTTTTTGGGGGGGGAGGGCGGGGTTTGGCGCGTTTTGGAAGGGGGGGAGGGAAGTGGAGCAAAAAGGCAGGAAAATAGAGGAGGTGGGGAGCTGGGGAGCTGGTGGGGCGGGAGGCATCGGGGTAATTTTGCAAAAGAGACGAGCCTTGGAAGGAGTACACGGGAAAATCACATCGACGGTGGGGCTGGAAGTATCACATCCGACGCCGGGCCCCGGATTTGCCAGAAGAAGTCTCCTGGTGCTGACCTGAGGCTCCAAACGACCCCCCTCTTTACTCCTGAAAAACCGTTGGTTTCCTTTCGCTCTCCATGAAACAGGCCAACAAAAGTTCCCAAAAAGGCAACACAAGGAGTTTGTGTACGCAATGGCTGGGCTAAACCATGGTGTAGTTGGGTACTCGCCTTCAACTTGGTCAAGCTCTGCCAAAACAAAAACAAAAAACAACCCATTCCACGCAGAAATTTCCCCCAACCACCCAACCAACACCCCCACAAGCACACGTAAAACCCCCTATTTCCCCTTGTCTCTGTTGCAAAACTTCCCCGATGCCTCCCGCCCCAGCTCCCCAGCTCCCCACCTCCAGTGGAATTTCCTGTGTTTCCCTCCTTTTTGCTCCATCCCAAACCCCCCAAACCCCGCCCTCCCCAAACACCCACCTCCCTCCCCACCTCCCCACCTCCCCACCTCCCCACCTCCCTCCCCCACCTCCCCCCCAAACCCCCCACCCCCCCCACCCCCACCCCCCCCCACCCCACCGAATCCCCCACCCCCCCGCCTGGCGCTGCTCCAACGGCAGCTGCTCCCCGAAGAGCAGCGCGTCGCCCACCGCCTGCGTGAAGAGCACCGCGAAGACCTCCGCCCGATCCATCGATCCACGGATTCGCGAGCGGGCGATCTGAGCGGGGGGAGCGGATGGGGGGGGGGGAGGCGGGGGGGAGGGGGTGGAAAGCGGTTGGTTTGTTTGGGTTGGCGCCCAGAGGAGGAAAAAAAAAGGAGAAGAAAAAAAAAAAGCTGAGGGAAAGATGAAAAAAAACTGAAGGGGGGGGGTGTTGGTTTTTGGTTGTTGGTTGTTGGTTGTTGAGGTGGGAATGTTGGTTTGTGCTTGCTGTGGATGTTGCATTTGGGTGGCTTCATGTGTGTTGTGTGGGGGGCCCGGTGTGTTAACTGCGGTGTTGTTTTGTTTGCGTTTTGCGCTTGGGCGGTTTTTGGCGCGTCAGCCGGTGGTTTGTCTGGGGCATGGGTTGTGACAGCAGGTTGTTGGGGCGGTGTGGCGCATCTTCGACCCAACGCTCCCGAAGAAGCGAGAGGGAAAACATCGGGGACCTTGAAAGGCCCCTGTGGCAAACGGAGATCTCAAATGCTCTGGTGCTGAGTCTTGGCTGTTTTGACTGCTTGGTGTTGTGCAGTCTGCTTCTGAGCAGACTGCAGGTGCTTCGGCTTTAGTGTGTTGGGAGTTCTTTGCAGGGAAGTCCACACGCAACTCTGAGAACTCCCTTGTTTGCACGTTTAGGAACAAGACACGGTGCGGGCTTTGGCAGCCGACAAAAGACACCACGCACCAATCCACGCGAAACAAAAAAAAGACACATGAACCTTGTAACAGAATAAAAACAACGAAAACCAAAAAAAACTGCACGGACCACCAAAGTACCATCAGCTAAACAAATAGCATTCTATTAGATATGAATTTGTCAATGCAACAAGCTGCAACACAAACAAAATGGATCACACACACACACACACACACTCAAACGCGTGCATGCATTAGCCTGAACAACCTGAACAGTGAGCCCAAACAAAACCGCGGCCTACAAGCTACCTGGAACATGGAGCCATGACTCATGCGTCGAAAAGGCAGTCGCATAGGCCAAAAAGCACAACCCGGCAAAATGAAGCTGAACTTCAGGTCTCAACACCAAAAAACACTGGCAGAATAAATGTTCATTTCAGCTCATGGAACTTAGTTTCACTTCCCGTGGGGTCAAATGGAAACCCCCAGCCGAACCAACGAAAACAACCAGCTAAAAAACCTTTGTGGCACTCCCTGGCCACCGCGTCTGATTTCGGTCGAGACACGTAGACGATGAGGCCCAGCAAAACCATGGCCCAGATCAGGGACTTCCTCGGCGAGGATTTGCTCGGGTTGTTTTGGAGGGGACTTGGGACACCAGAAGTTGGGATGTCCCTTTTCATTGGGGGTCAGACCAACCCTTGACAAAAAATATAACCATTTAACTCTGGAAAACCTGGTTGTTCAAAAAAAGAATCCCTAACTTGGTCCTCCAGTAGAGAGGCTAGAATAAGGGTACCACTTTTTGTCTGTAGTTTATTTTAGTGGGGGAACCCTCCCAACCAAAACAGGGGAGAGAAAGGGCACTACTGGGGGACCTAGTTGGGGAAGACGGGAGACGATGTTGCTCGGAGTTTGTACGTGTTGCTCCGTTTGCTCGGGAAAATGGGAGTTCTTGCCCACCAAAGTTTTGGTTGGCGAACTCCCCTTGGGTGGTTTGAGGGTTCAGGCAGGCGCTGGCTTTTTTTTGTTCGGATGTTGTAGGTCCGGCTCCTCTTTTTTGCGGGGATGTCCATTCCTTCATAACCATGAGGCTCTTTCCGAATGCGCCCTGCCAGAAACCAATGAGAAAACCTAGAAATCCCCATGAGACAACCAGGCAACGTAAGAGAAGCTGCGGGAAGCTGAAGGAACTAGACCAGGGAACCCCAATCTGGTTGACAACTCCATTTGTGCGCCCACCCAAAATCCTCTCACCCGAAAACAGGTTGGGCGACTGTAGTATACCATCTCAGAATCTGCCGCGAACTCCGCACCCCGCGGATCGGCCAAATGTTTTCACCAAGATGGTGCTGCGATATGATTCATCATCTTAAGACGCACAAATGATAATACTAACAATAATAGTAATAATATTCTATTTATTTGTTAAAGGTGTGCGGTGAGGGTTCAGGTCCACCTCTACTATCTCCCCCCCCCCCAACCCCAAAAAAAAGAAAAGAAAAAAAAGAAAGGAACAACAAGCTTCACAGGAACCCCCCCCCCCCCCGCCCCCGCCCCCCTCCCGCAAAAAAGAGGAGAAACACACACACACACAACCAGATATAGCTTCCGCCCCACATGTTGGCATGGCCCGTATTAATCAGACGCCCGCTCTCCAACTGCCAGGAGAAACCGCTGAAAGGTTTCTAAGCGTCGTGTATGATGCCGCCCTCTGGGGTCCTCTCCCCTCATAAGTTTGCATGTCCCAAAACATGGGGAGCCGTGCCCCGTCATGTAATGTTGACCCCATATGAAAAAAGACAACCCCGGATTGTTAAATAGAGGGGGTGTTCCGCTCCAAAAGTGGTCTGGTTCCCCCACATTTCACCCAGTTGAAACCCCCCCCCCCAAAAAAAAAAGCGGGGCTGATGAAAAAAACAAACGGGATCAACAGAAAAGCTCTCTAAAACCCCCGCTGAAAGCTAAAAAGCGTTGATTGGGGTCAACCGAAAAGCCCTCTAAAAACCCGGCTGAAAGCTAAAAAGCGCTGATTGGGGTTAACCTTCGCTCTCTCAACCCGGCTGAGAGGTGTAACACACAACTAGATGTAGCTTCCACACCCCCGCATTTTGGCATGGCCCGTTTTTGCTCTCTCTTTTTTTAAGTCGCCCGCTCTCCACCCGCCAGGCCGAACCGGCAAGGGTTGACAAGCGTCAGCGTGTAGATGATGGAGGAGATCAGCGTCCTCAGGGCCATGACGAAGCGCAGTACCCGCGCCAAGCGCGCCACCTTCACGATGCGCGTGATCCGCACCAAGCGCAGCGCCTGCTTTTTTTGCGCGAATTGATGAGGATTTGGGCGGCCATTTTTCTTTAGGCTTCCGATCCCCCCCTTACCCCAAAAAAAGAGTGGGGTGTCCTTGTCTTTTCTTTAGGATTCCGATCCCCCAAGAGAACAAATATGATTTTCCTTTTGAGTGGTTTTCCTATTGCGGTTCCAATTAAAAACCACGAAAATGGGGTCGCCCTCAAGAAATGGCACACCCAAATTTGCTTTCAACAGAAAGGGTTTAAAAATACCCAAACCCCCTGCGGATCAATGTTTGGAACAAATCGGGTGATCCAAACGTACCAACTCAAAAGCAGGTGGGGTGGAGGTTACGGGGGCATGAGTTAGATGGTCTAGCTGTATGCCTCCAAAGCTTGATGCTGCTGACCCTTCTGCAACAATATGTTTCACTTGTTGGTCCAAATGGGACATCCACTGTTTAAACCAAAACGTCAAAGTCCAAACATCCAACCAAATAGCCTTAAAGAAAGTGTACCCGAACAAAAGTCCATCCTGAACTTGGCCATCTTGCAAGTTCGCATCTTTGTCTGCCGTGAAGGCCTTCCGCAAGGAACGCCTCTCGCCCCCCCCCCCCCCCTCTTTCTGGTGTCTTGTTCAGGTCGTAGTTGAGGGTGGTTGCGTTTGTTCTTCTTTTACGGGACCCTCAAAGTAGCGGCTTTCCGTTTGGCTTCCCTTCAAAAAAGGACCAAACAAAAAAAGAGAGCCACCATCCGAAAAGGGACGAGTCCGCCATTCAAAATGTTTCACGGCGCGGGAGTTCCTCGCAGGTTGCAGCGAATGACTCCAGCCGTTGATCCGAGCCCCGGCTCCTCGTGGGGCCAGTGGATGCCCGGATCCGGTGGCAAACCATGCAAGGAACCGGCAAAAACGTGAAAGACCACTACCATTCATGGTGTGTCTAACTACCCCCTAGCCAACCCCTCCATTAAGACCCTAAGACCTTAATAAGGCGCTATCCCTACCACTCAAAGGGGAGAAGGGGGGGTAGTCAGCTAGGGGGTAGTTACCATGAACGATGGAAAGAGGATCTTGCAGTACAAGCAACCCCAACCCGCCTACTCCAAACATGTCCTCCTTGTGGTGGTTTCTTGTAGCTTCTTTTGTTTTATGTTGGGGGGGGAGGTATCATGGCTAACCCCTGATTCAAAATGGAGATATTTACCCTGGAAAACCCAAGTGTGCCAAACAAAATAATAGCTGGGCTGCCCTCAGATCCCCAGATCCCCCGCTAAAAGTTTAACGTTTAGCGGGTCAAATGGAACTGTTCACTAAATACTAAATAGCAAACAGGCTAAGGGGATGGCTGGGAGCCACCAAGATAACAATATTGATACTGATGATATGAAACAAGAAACAAAACAAAAAAACAGGTGTCTCCTCTCCGGAGGAAAACAACAGCTGGCAAACCCTGGGTGTTTCATTGAGAAAAAACACACACCAACTACTTCCATTTGCTCAAGCAGCCTGAAAAAAGCGAACATGCCCAGTAGTGAAATCGATTCCCTTTCAAACCAACCAGGGAAAGTGAAAAAAAACAACTCGCATTCATTTCAGCACAAAGTTAAAACTCACATGGTGTGGGAAGCCAATGGGAGAAGCAGAACCTCCTGCCTAGATAGCCAAGTTGCTGTTTCGCTTTTTTCAGCCGCCGTTGCTGGTCAAGTTGGAAAAAAAGGCCATCTCTTGCCTGGCCATCCAGCTGGGCCCGAGCTTTTTCCGAGCGCGCGCGCGGACTCCGACGGCGAGACCCCGAAGTTCTCCGACGGCGCCTTGAGCCCTGTGAACTGGATGGAGCTGCCCGAGGTCTCGTCCGTGGTGGCCAGCTCCACCGCCAGCTCCCAGAGACTCGTGAGCCTCAGCCGCGCGGTCTCGGCTGAGCGCGCGTCTAGGCGCGGGGGTGGGGCTTCCCTGAACCCAAGCTGGGGATTTTTTTTGGGGGTGAGGCGCGCGGGGGGTTGGGCGTCCAACTGAAGACAATCTGGGGGAATCATTTTTTTGGGGGGGTGGCGGCTTAGTTGGCCATGGGCGTTTCGAAATCCAAATCGGGTAGGTTCCAGTGCACATCCCAATCCAACCATAGAGTAAAATGGGCGGTGCACCCGAAAAACCATTGATGTTGACCCACGGCCATTTCGTTGCCATTCATCCATTGCTGAGGTCCTCAGCAAGAACAATGCTTGGGCGCCGGGTTCCTGGGGACTGTTGCGGTGGGAAACAATTGGGCCAGGGCGAGAGGCTATGGTGGACGCCGACCCTCTAACTTCCCATCTTCTGCCATGGCTCCGGAGGTGATTTGCGAAACAAAGAGTTTCAGTCAATTGCAGCAAGTGACCCTGCTCTTGATGTCTTTCCGAGCGAAAAACTCCCCCCCCTTCCCCGCCCCCTAAGCACTTCCTAAGAGGAATCGTCAAAGTCCAGCCTGATGCTTCAAGCAAGGGGGATTTCCAATGCACGATTCTCCAACGTGCCCCTCCCCTCGAAGGTCATTGCAAGGAACCCGGTAATCCCTACTACCTGGATCGCCAGTTGCCGCCATTTTGAATGAACCTTACTCCAAAAACCAACAACAGTGACTGAAAAAGGCGATCGCAACTTGGCTATCTAGGTAGGTAGTTCGCTTCCCTGCGCAGACAGCGCAGGAAAGCGGAGCAGCGACGTTGCAAGCGAATTCGCTGCTCCACAACCTTTCGCGCTGCAGTGCTGCACCTTGCGCACATCCACTGCAACGCAAATCCCACAAACGCTCGCAGCGCAAGCCATCGCGCGCCGCAAACTGACTGCGCTGCAGCAGAAATCGACTGCGGCGCGCCGCGCGCCGCGCAAGTCGAAACATCACATTGCGGCGCAACGCGCTGCGCTTGGGATCCCAGACCTCCAATTCGAGGGAAGCTGAATTCACCCCGTTGATTCCCTTTGGAAGATCAAGCAAACCACCCGTTTGCCAACTGCTTGAAAAAGGCTGGGGAAACCTCGCATTTGCTCACTCGTTGACCCCCCTGTTTGGGGTCGCTTAAAGGGACGCCAGCAGGACAACCACCGTTTGGGGGATCGCCCCCCCAAAAAAAAAGACACAATCAACCCAGGCAAAAAATGATGAAACCAATTTGGCTGATTTAGAGATGGGCTCATTGTCTTGGTTCTCGGAGGCTTTTGCGCCCCACTCGCGCCAAAAAAAGCGGCCAGCCGAGGAACACGATGAAGATGTCCATCCAATTCCACATCCATTCCTCCGAGAGGATGAAGCGCCTCCCATTCGCCAAGATCCGCAGAGCCAGCTCTACGGTGAAGATGACGGTGTACGCGTACTGGAAAACCTGGCAAGTTTTTCAGGCCCCCCCCCCTTTTGGAGGCCCCCAGAGGGCCCCTTGCTACCTACGGAGGTACCAGGCTTGACCAATGCTTACCCCTCAAAAGCCCATCCTCTCCGAACAAAGCCACAAGATACCTTTCAAACGGTAGCAAAAGACCTTCCTTTTGCAGCTGACTGAAAACGATCCAGGAAAAAAAAAGAAGAAAAAAACCACTGGAAACTGGGCAACTGAAAAAAGAGACACCCATCCCCTTTGGATTCCCTGGTGAATGGTTTAGCTGGCCGCGACCAAAACATGTATCCAGGTCGCAGAGCCTCTCACAGGGGCAAAGTTGAATGCCAACATGCTCATAACCATACTGATGGCTGCGGATTTCCCAGAATTCGCGGCACCTCAAAAACATCCTGGACCCCCAAAGGACCGATTCCTTTTTTCTGCCTTTGACCCAAAAAAAAGGGGGACAAAAGCAGAAAAAAGGGGTCCTTTGGGGGTCCAGGATGGTTGAAACCGTAACGTTGGGGAATCATCAGAAACCCCTTAGAGTTCCCCCCCCCCCCAATCACAAACACACACGCACCAAAAAGAAAGAAGCAACCCCCAACTCCCCAACCCCCCTCAAAAAAAAAAAACACATAAGAAAACAAGGGGAGAACAAGACAAAGGCCTCTGGAAGTCTGTTAGCTGTGTGGATCTATTACCACCCAAAAGCTAATTGTTTGCTTAGTGAGATCCATTTAGTAAGGCATCCTCAACAAAAATGCAGATAACCCACCCATTAAGGAGAGGTGTATGCTACTCACTTCCGTGGATTCGCCAGAACAAGGCCAAAGTGTTTGTTTACCACTAAGATACTTTAAGTTTGAAACGGAACTCAGGAAGTTAGTCTACGATCCTCCATTTGGTCCAATAGTGAAATCGATTCCCCTCAAAACAAACAGAGGAAAATCACAAACCTTCATTTCAGCAAAAAACAAAAAACACTTACATAAACTTACTTAGGAACTGGGCTGTCATCAGATTCCCTGCTAAAAGTCTAACTTTTAGTCTTGGTTGCTGTTGACCCCCCTGCAAAAAGTTTAACTTTTTGGGGGTTTTGTGGAAAACACCTTGATTTCAACCAAAAAGATCCGCTACCCAATAGCAGTCAAGCATGGAAACCACAACTAAACCCTAAGCATTCCTCAAACGCTTGTTGGAATGGCTGGGAGCCAAGGGAAGCGAGCCCATGCTCGCCCACGTTCTGCGTGGGAGGCTTTGCTGTTGACCGACCGACCCCGCAGAAAGTGAGACTCTCACTTTCTGGGGGGTCAGTTCGCAAAAAGCACCGGTTGATTTTCAATGCAATAAGTGGAAAACACATTTTTTGTTGGGTTTAGTTCGGAAAACCCAGCTTGATTTCAACCAAAAGGCTCAAGTCTAAAGATCCGAACCCAATAGCAGTCAAGGAATAGTCAAGGAGGAAGATCGTTCGGCGCCTGGATGGCTAACGGCTCCTCTCCCGCCACACTGCTACTCACCTGCGGTCGAAATCTTTCGATCGCGGATTGGACGGCCTTCGGAGTGCGGATCTCCCCAAAGGTTGATCACTTGACGGGCGCCTGGATCGCCACCCAAAAACCGATCGCAACAGTGACTGGAAGAAGCGAAGAAGCAACTTGGCTATCCAGGGACTTCGCCTTTGGGAAGAAGGCTATCCTGTTTTTCTTGCATCATAGCGGCCTCCATTTCCCAGTCCTGCTCGCCACCCAAAGAGCAAACCCAGTCATACCGCCCTGGAAGCCTCGGAAGCTCCAAGCCACGAGCCTATTTCGGAGGAAAAACGCATCTGCCAGCGATTTCGCAACTTGGTGAGGATCCCCGTGCGCAGGCGGTTTGGGGATGCATCCTTCCAGGAACCTGAATTGAACCTACTGTGGATGGTTGCGAAATCCAGAAATCGCACCACCTGAAAAACATGGTTGAAACCATGGAGTTTGTTGGTATGTACAGGGCAATCATCAGAAACCAGGGTTTCTTAGGTGGTGCGAAATGGATTTCGTCCATCCACAGTAATTATGCAACGCAACACGAGACATACGCAAAACGGATCCGACAGAGCTGGGGAGAGGCGGAAAAGCCTTGCAGCCAGCGACTTTGTGCCAGCATGGCTATGAAGGTTATGTGGGCCGCTCGGAAATCCCCTTGTTTAATAAACCAAAGAAGTCAAAAGAACCTCACTACGTCTACATAGATGTGTTATTGTGAGATTGCTATTCAGTAAAACTCATTGCATAACAAGTTAGAAGGGGAAAAGCTTGAAATCTTTAGGACACTTCAGATATCAATTGTAAATCAGTTAATGTTCAAAGAGAGTGAACGGAAGCTTTGCAACAACAATATAAATTATAATACACCTAAACTATGTTATGTACTAAAATGTGTTTGGGTTGCTAAGAAACAGCTGCTGTTATACATGGTGCTCAACTTGCATTTGTTGAACCATAGGTACGTGCAAAATTCAACACAAGTCTATATACTAGAAACACCTCCAACGAAACAATGTTTTAATAAATGGCGGATGAATTACCTAAAGGCTACAATTGATATAGTATCCTATAATTGCTATAAGAATGCCCGTTTATCTAATTTGCCCTAAAATGTGATTATTTTTCGTCCTCTGCATCCAGATGCCCAAATGATCGACCAGGATCATATATTCCTGGTGTTTTGTTAAACAAAATCGGACCGCTATGTGCAAAATCCGAGGACCCGCATTTCTTTGCCCACATCTAGGGAACACCGAAAACAACATGTTCAGATTCCGTTTACATTTAGCCTACCCTGAACCATAACACCTCGCTTCCTGAGTGGATTGGCCAGAAAAAGTCCCCAAAAATGGTTGTTTACCACTAAAACGGCAACCAACCCCAAGAAGTCACAAAAGCCTCCGAAGCGACGAAAACTCGGGGGTCGTGAGACAACTGCGATGGCGCCTCCACCCCCACGAAGACTGAGTTGGTGACGACTACGACGGCCTCGAATGGGTCACTTCGCTTGAATGCAGTGGGTTGCGACGGCAACCAAGGGAGGCCATCATCGTGGCTTTCCTTTCCCTTTGAAACCACAAGAAAGGTATGTAGACCAAAGGGAAACAACCAACAAGGTCTATAAATAAAAAGTGTAGACCAAAGGCCAAAGACGGTAATGTTAACAATTACAGCTTCTAGTAGTAAGCTAATCCTCCCAAAAATCAACCAACCAGTTTATTAATACGGGGGTGTTACCCCATACTGTGGATGGACGAAATCCTGCACCACCTAAGAAACCCTGGAATGATGATTCCCCTGTAAATACCAACAAAAAATGGTTTCCTATGGTTTCATAGTGGTGCAGGATTTCGTCCATCCACAGTATGGTTGTCTTATTCTCTGTTCCCGAGTGAATGGCCAAACATTATTTGCCACTAAAGTGATCTTCCAAGAAGTAGGAAGCCCATGAACTCAGGAAGTGAGCTTTTTGGCTCCCCGTAAACCCACAAAAAGGGAGAGCCTTAAAAGAAGGCACACCCAAATGAAACAGACACGCCCAAATGGGGTAACGGAATATAGTGAAACCAAAAGGAATATGACACTTGTCCAAATGATGTCCCATGTGCGGGGAGTCGAAAGGAACAAGAATTCGCAAGCCAACAGCCTTTAGCTGGATCCCAAAGGAGCCACTTTCTTCCCGCCCCTTTACCCACGAATTGCCCATAATTTGGCAAAAGTTGCCCGGGAAAATAAAGTAAAGGCAACTAGGCCCTCCAGTACAGAGGTTAGAATAAGAGTATCATTTTTCTGTAGTCTATTTCAATAGGGGAACCCTCCCCCAAAACAGTTGGTAAAAGGGCACTGCTGGGGGACCTAGGGAAACTGGGGATACAGGATATAGGGAGAAACCCCGGGAAAGCAAATCCCGAAGCCCTGGAGCCTCGGCGAGACGGCTCTGGCGCGAACTTGCAGGCTTGGAGATACGATGCCCAGATGCCCAGTGGATTTCCATTCGAGGAAACAAAGGGCATCCATGGGGGTTTTCCTGACGGGAAAGGGGAACCCTTGCTCAAAAAAAAACATTTGTTGGGATCCGTTTTTTTGGGCTGGCTGACAAAAAGGGCAGCCTTCTTTTGGTTGGTTGACTTTACAGGGAACCCTTTCTCATTAAAAAAGTTGGAGAAAAAAGGAAGCAACTGGGCAACCGGGGCCCAGACCCGGCACCGAAAAGCCATTTAAAGAATCAGGGCAACCGTCCGCTTTCTGATCCCCTGCTAAAAGATTGACTTGTGGGTTAAGTGGACACCCCTGAAACCGTAAAAACCTGAGGGACGGCTTTTTGGAACCGCCCATCTACGAAGCTGAACAACTCTGGGCCGATGTTTGGTTTTTTTTTTTTTTTTGTTGTTTCTTACGCGAGGAAGGGCGATCTCAAGGGATCTCAGGGATGGGTCAAGGGAGAGCTCCTCTGGAGAAAATAAATCTGTTTTCAGCGAAGAGTTTCTCCTGAGGATCGTCAAGGGTGATTTCCGCTTGTTTGTAGTGGTGATAGGTTCTCCCCTTGAAAACCAAGAGGGAGACAAACAAATGGCCCGACCATCTGTAGCGGCGGGTTTCTTGCATGAAACGGCGCGGCACTTGCTCAAGTTGACATTTTCAGGAGAGTTGTCTTTTTGAGGTATGGAGGAAACCCTCCCACCGACTAACATGGTTTGGTGCACAGACCCGTGTGAAAAGACTAGGGGTTTGTGCACTTAGCACTTCCATAAAGGTATGCTGGTGGTTGTCTACGCATCCATACCCGGAAAAGCCCCTTTGCCAAGCTGCGAAGAAGATGTCGAACCAGGGATGGTTCACAATTCTTTGCAAGCAGCCTGCGACAGCTGGCGTTGGCGGCTGACAAATTTGGCTCAAAAGGCGGGGAATTTAGGCAATGCTTGCGTAACCTAAGGTAAGGATCTTGCGGATAGCCTGTGAACAGCCCAGAACCAAGAAGGTCACTTAAACATTCTTAAGACCCCTGGACAAAAATATGACATGTTTCAAGGGGCCCCAGATTGCCCAGGCGCGCTTCTTACTGCAATTGCTATTCTTGTACGCGTTGCAAATAGAGCTCTTCGTTATTGTTGTCCATGCTGCTGTTGCTCTGTCTACGGTGGATGCCTGAAGAATACAACAAGCAAACCAGCCCACAGTTACACCACAAAACCATTTGCAAGGTACGGCAAATTAGAGGGGTTCTTCGTTCCCGTGAGACATGGGAGTTTTGACTGAACATCCAAGCAGCCTGAAACAAAAGGGACCCTTACGGAAGGAGCCTTCATGGCCTTTGGCAAGTCCAACCCCACGAATCTGGGTGCATGAAAGCCTGGGCTTTTGGTGCAAAGCCTGGGCTGGCTCGGGCTGGCTCGTTTTGTGGTAAACTAGAGAACCCCCGCTCATCTGGATGTCTCCAAAAAGCAACCAGATACTGTCGCTGGACGTTGTTGACGCAACATCCAAAATGGGAAACTACGCAGTTAGTGCTTTTCCAACCAAAGGTCATCCCATGTTCATCGGACCCACCAGTTTTGGGATCTCCTTCTCCTTTTGAAAATCCGTCCTTCTTCGGTTCCTTCCGCTTTTTACGGGATCTGTTTTTGTTGTTGTTGTTTTTTTCTTCTTGGGAAACCATCAAGGCCCCCGCATCGCAAAAGTCTGAGCAACGCAGCCGTGACCCCCCCCTTACCAAACCCCAATGTTCTGGACTATGCGGAAACAAGCCCTTGAGGCCAGCCTTCGGGATAAAAAAGATCAGGACTTACCCCCAAATGGATGAAATTGACCGCACATCTTTCCTAAGGTCACTTAGAACCTGCCCTCATTGCTGGTAAAGACTAAGCATGCCCCTTTTGATGGAGCTTGACGTGCAGACAAGGAAGGTGGATGCTGCAATCCTGGGTGTCTGAGATAGGCACCCAAAAACGGAGGTTGGCCTCTTGGTTTCCCTAAGAAAATCCCAAGGAGGGCGCCTTTCGCCTCGAACGAGCCATGGGCAAACTGCGTTTCTCCTTCCCCGCGCCGCCCCGAGAAAAACGGGGGCCTCTTTGCATCCGGAGGCTCTGCCACTCGATAAAAGCCCGGACAGAAAAGGTGATCGCCTTTAAGAAAACCACCGGGTAGCCTTAAAACCAAAGACAGCCCAAGCCCAGGCCGAAGACAAACCCCAAGGCCCCGCGGGCACCCCCTGCTATGGTTGCAAGTGAGACGCTTTGAGCGAGAGGGATACCCGATTGAATCCATCTCTGCAAAATTTCATTTTATGTCTGTCTTTCTTTCTTTCATCTATTGATCGTTATGTTCTTCTATGTACCTTTTTGAGGGGTGTGTGCCATGGACGCTTAGGGTCCATTTGCAGGCTCAAACCCTAAAAAACACATACCCCATACCGAACCGAGGGGGGGAGGGGGAAGACGATTTGCAGCCGCAGGGCTCGCTTCCGAGGGAAGAGAATGCTGGCTCCTCGGGCATTTGAATGAATGCGGAATGAATCGGCATGGGCCGATTTAAGCAGAAAAAAATAGTCGCCTGTTGAGACTCAAAGAGGGGAAACACAGATATCACAAAGGGAGAACCCTTTTTGGGCCGGGGACCTAAATGTCTCTCCAAAAAGTGGCTGCCAAAAAGTTGGAAACCCAAAAGGTGAAAAAGGTCGCTTCGCTTTGGAGGACTGAGTTCAACATGCTGATTCCTTAACTCACTTGCCCAAAAGACCAGGAAATAAAAGGTTAACCTTTTGGGACCTTTACTAAAACTGGACCAAAATTGGAAAACCAAAAGGTCAAAAAGTCGGCTTTGGGCAAGTGAGTTAAGGAATCCACGTGTCTAAACACAGTTGCTCAACCCACGCCAGGTCGCGTCCAAAGCCGTGATTGGCCCTGAAGAGGGGGCCCGATTTGTTTGGCATTTCCGAGCCGTTTCCCTTTCCAGGGAACCCCTCGGTCCGCGATCGGTCCAGTGGAAACTGCCGGCGAATTCAACGCTTTTGGGGAAATCCAGCGACCCCTGTATGCAACCAGGGGTTCTCTCAATCCAGACCAGAAATACTGCAGCCAAACATCTGCTACTCCAAATTTCAAATACCCTCTTTTTTCAGGGTATCATGTCGACCCTCTACGAGAGAGAAGGAGGTATTTGCCGTGGGAAACCAGGTTTTCCCAAAAATGCCAGCTGAAAAAAAGCGTTGGTATTTTGAGTAGGGGGTGCTTTTTCACAGGGAGTCATTTCCACACGGTCATAGAAGAAGGAGGGTCTGCAGGTCTGGGGATCTTCTGAGAGAAACAGGGTCACTGGACTTTTCCCCAAACAATTCCAGCATCCAGCTCAAATAGGTGAGACTCTTTTTTTTGAGAACGAGCCCAACCCCTGCAATTTTTTTTCAGGGACGGTGGTCTGCCAAATGGAAAGTTGAATGGGACGCTCGAACAAAAGACGGTCAAACTCTCCTTTTCGCATCGGTGTGTCCCGGCCGAATCGCTAAGTGTCCCGGTGTCCAACGTGTTGGCGGAATCTGGGACATGTCTGGGGATCTAACATAGAACCCGTGCGGTTTCCCCAATCGGTCACCTGAGCCAAGCCTTAAAACACCCATTCTTGAACCCTTTCGGAAGCCCCTTTCACGTCCTGTGTCTTTGAGAGTACCTGTCTTGGTTCGATTTAATTCTCAGTGAACCAAAAGGAACCCATTGGTCTTTGTTCCCTTTTCCTCCATATGTTCTTTCCGGAGCCAAGCCCGCCCAACCTTGCCCCCTCCCCCAAGACAATTTCCTCCAAATTGCTTACCCCTGGTTGCCCATATATATATATATATATATATACATATATATATATCTATCTATCTATCTGTCTGTCTGTCTGTCTATCTATCTATCTATCTATCTATCTATCTATCTATCTATCTATCTATCTGTCTGTCTGTCTGTCTGTGTGTGGAACCCACCAAGAAGGCCCCACGAAGTGCAGTCCAGGGGCAAAAAATGTCTATTTGAAGGGTTTACCGGTCACGTGGGGATGGTAACTCTGACAAGCTATAACTCATCTTTACAAGTCCCCTTTCTGAACCAACCCCCCCCCCCCCCAAAAAAAAAAAAAAAAACGATGAAAAAACTGTTCCTTCCTCCATATGGTCCCTTCCGCAACCAAGCCCGCCCCGCTCCGAGGCCGCGGCTGGGCGCGGCGCTTCTTCTTGGCGGCTTCCTGGGCGTCCACGGTGGCGGCGCCCTCCTGGAGCAGCTTGTCCATCTCCTCGAAGGTGCCTCGGGATCTCGGGCGAGGGGGGTTCGAGGAATGGATCGGGGGAGGGGGGGGGGGGTTTTCGGGTTTGGGGGGCGGGGGGGATGAAAAAAAAAGGGAAGGGGGAGGGGGGTTCGGGTTTTGGGGGGGTTGGGGTGGGATTTTGTTTTTGTTTTTTTGGGGGGGGGTTGGGGCGATGTGATTTGGGATGGAAAGGAGCAAACACATTGTATTTTCACGGTGTTTTGTGGGTGTAGAAGTGCTGGGGAATCGGCGAGAACACGTTTGTTTAAGAGAATTCTGGCAACCTTTCAAGATGTTACTAGAGAACATTGTGCTTTACAGTATTTTCTACACATAATGATGTTGAGGGCCGGAACAAGCACATGCTTCATGAACAAGCATCAGGGTTGTTGATTCTCACTTCAATAGCTTACATATGTTTGTTGCAGATCCAGCTGCATTTGGTCAGCTTTCCTTTTGTCCCTGGGACTCCTTTAGAATTCTCGCAGTAGTCTCTTCGTATTCCGTTCGTATGCCCTGGTATTTCCTAAGAATTTCCCTATCATTCCCTTAATTTTCCCCTAGCATTCCCCTTTTCCCATCCAGGATTATCTTGTTTTCTGGGGTTCCCACAGCATTCCCTACTATTATTCTCCGAGTATAATTTCATAAAGATATTAGAGAATAATTCATGAGGAAAGAATTCAGAGGTCCCAAAATTGTTGAATATCGATTTTGAATGTTTACTGACTTGAAAAAACAATTCTATTGGAAAGGGAATCCTGTGGGAACTCTGCGCACTATACTAAATAAGAATAATCATTGCTACAATTCCAGCTTAACTATTTCGCAAGCATTTCCTTTCTCAGTATTCCCCTAGTTTGGTCCTAGGAACTTAGTACAATTTGATAAAGATAGTAAATAAGAACTCATACGGGAACAAGCTTGTTGCATACTGTGTTTAAATGGTTGCTGATTTGAAAAGACAATTCTATTTGAAAATGGAATCCCGTGGGAATCCTGAGCAGCAATTGATATTAAGCAAGGATTCACAAGTACGGAAACCAGGTCAGAGAATTGATGAATGTTGTGCTTAAACGCATACTGATTTGAAAAGACAAGTCTATTGGACAGGGAATCCTGTGCAACATGTGTTTTGCCATAAAATAAGAATTGCTGCGATTCCAATTTCAAATTTCTGTACATGGTTGGATTATGTCCTATTTTCAGTTAGAAATTGAGAGAGTTTGACAAAGGTTTTAAATAGAATTCATAAGGTGCGAGTGGCTTAGATTGTCCAACCGCATCCTCCTGCTGGCGATGCAGGAGTCTTACAATCCAGGATGTGTGTCTGTGTTAAACAGGTCGCCCAAGTGCGATACTAAAGGAAGACATACTAAAGGGGTAGGGCGTGCAGTGGAGACTGCAGGCACGGCGCCTAGGCGAAATGCACATGTTCCTGTCGCATCTGAGAAGCACTTCGCCAGGGGCACCTCTTGTTTTTTTTAGGGGGGAGCTGGATGGAGGGAGGGGAGGGGAGGGGAGGGGAGGGAGGGGAGGGGAGGGGAGGGGAGGGAGGGAGGGGAGGGGGGGAGGGGAGGGGAGGGGAGGGAGGGGAGGGGAGAGGGAGGAGAGGGAGAGGGAACCACATTTCCCATGAACACGTCTCCTAGAGGGCGCCGAATTTCATTGAATATGCAAGGCGCTTTTTCCATGTAATCCCCCCCCCCAGCCAGCCGTTTGTGCCGCTGGAGCGTGCAAAATACGAGGGCAGGTGACTTGGATGTTCAGAAACAGAGTGGATATAGCTTGGTTGCTGTTGACCCCCTGCAAAAAGTGAATAACTTTTTGGGGAGTTAGTGGAAAACACATTTATTTTCAAAAAAGTTTTAAAGTCTAAAGACCCGTTGCCCAATAGCGATCAAGATAGGGGCATTTGGAGAAACAAAAAGAGCCGCCCCGAAACGCTTCGATTCCTCGCGAAGGGGCGGAAGTTCCGGGTCTCCTTGGAAGCCTCGTCCCACGCAAAGCTGTCCTCGGGAAGGCCCGTTGGCAAAAAACTACCTGTGGATGGACATCCCCCCTACAGGAGGAGGGGGGGGGGTCCCCAATTCCATTTATCTGGTCTTCCCCACAAAAGGAAAGATGGAACCCTCCCCCAATTCCATTTTTCAGGGGGTGGGGATGGATGGACAAAGTCCATTTCGCACCACTTGGAAACCATGGGGGCTTCCCATTGTCCATTGGAATTTACAGTTGACAGGGAAATCATCAGAATTAGGTGCTGCGAAATGAACTTTGTCCATCCTCAGCCTGCAATTCGCTCTTGACAGCTAGTAACCGACGTCTATGGGTGTTAAAGATCTAGTGGTTGATTCCCCATTCTTTTCAACCATGGTTCTTTTCAAAAACCTGGGACCTGGAAAAATGAAAACTTTTCGAAGGCTATGGGCCACAGTCAGGCTTCGCACCTATCCAACTGGTGAATCGGCGTTTGACCGTGCGAGTGTGCACTTTGCAAATGCAGATTCTCTAGGAAACAACTTGGATGCGGTTTCTGTGGATCTACCCCTGTAGGATACTCAAAGACTACTAAAAGAGTACTAAAAGAGAACCTACAAGGGGAAGAGCAGATAAAGTCCGCAATCCAAACCGTTCTCTAGACATTCTATGCTGCTGGCGAGGCCCCTCTGACAAAAGCGAATAACTGTCGGTGGGTCCAATGGAAAATCCCCACGGCTTCCCAAAAGGTTTGCCCTGCCAGCAACATGGAACCTGACACGGGTCCCTTGAAAAGGAAAGTTCTCTGCCAGGACCCCCTGTCAGGTTCCATGTTAGGGAGGGCAAAGTCCCAAGATCCAACCAGCATTTCACGAAGCTGCTGGCTCCCCGGCGAACCGCTTGGATGGGAATATGCGCTTTTCCTCGGGCATATGTGCCCTCCTCAAAGAATGAGGGGAGTTACAAACCTTTACCTGGGTCCCCAGTTGCCTTTATTTTCCAGCCACTGTCGCCAAATTATGGGCTACGAGCGGGTAAAGTGGCTGGACAAACGTAGCTACTTGGGGTTCCAGGTGCACGGTTGGTACATCCCTCTTGAAAAGCAATGGGATGGGGTGTGGGGGGGCTGACAAGCATGCAACCCAAAAATGAGCCCCAACAACAAGATGGCTCGGAAACATACAAATTCGCTTTGGGGCTCCTCTTCCAGTCGCTGAATAGACTCCCTTAGACCAACAGGCGAAATAAAGACATACTCTTAAGCAAATGGAAGCTGTGCTTTTCTCTTGAGAGCGTAAACACCCTTCGGAGATTTTCATGGCGTGATGTGGACATCGCCATTTTTCGCTTGTGCGTTCCGCACAAACGGCCGGGTCAGACCTGTCAAACTTTGTCACCAAGTTGGCAAAGGGCGCCCGCGAAGGGAAACGGTGCAGAGTGCGGGATGCGCCCCAAAACCACACGCACTTGCCAAGGATGTGGATCCTCTAAATATCCAGTTGCGACGTTGCAAAGGCGCTTTTTTACCTGGCCCGGCTTAGGGTCTGTCTTGGTTTAGCGAAGTCTTTGTCTGGTTTGTTTAAAAGGAAGAAAGAAGGACAACCACCATTTGGGGGGAGGGGGATGCATCCTGTGAGGCATGCTGTTCTTTCACTGATGCTTTAAGGCTCCTTGAAGCCCCCCACCCTTCGCGCGGCCCCGAGAAGCAACTACTCACTTTCAGAACCCCTTAATACTCTTCTGGCATTGACACACCGAAAAGATCCAAATGGTTCCTGAACGAGGAACTCCCTCAAACAATGGCTTCGGTTTCCTGGTGTGGTAGACTTGCTGGTGTTTCCGGGATTCCCTGAAAGGAAGCCATAGCGGATGGATGGTTCTTCTTCGGGTGATTCCAATTCTCATTCCCTGCCTATCGAACCAGCATCTGTGAGGTGCCATGTTAGGACATGGGACAAGTCAACTCTTTCGGTGGACCCGCAACATGGGCTCCTTCCATGATTTCTTGCAGGGCAGTTGGGCATTTGGGACCCGAAACGGTGGACGCAAATTACTTTTTTGAGGTTCCAACTCTGAAAAATCACCTCCGTTGCGAACCCTCGATTTGCGTCTCAGCCCCCTGGAGAAAATCCTGCGATACATTCCCCTTTGAACCCAATAGGCAAATGTAAGCATACCCTTAGCCGCAAACCCAAGCTGCGGTGAGACACGGCCGCTCCCCACTCCCGGCAAACGCATTGTTTTTTTCCTCCGGCAGCGCATGCGAAAAATGCCGCCGGTCGAGTGGAAAATGATGCCTTCCATTGAAGGCACGGCGGGTCAACCCTTTGCGCATCTTGATTGCCCATAGCGCTTTCAAACCCTCTTGCCTGGATCCACAAGTAGCCACTTTTTCCAGCCACTTTGTCCACTACTAGCCTAGTAGCCCATAATTTGGCAAAAGTAGCTGGAAAATACAGGCAACTGGGGATCCAGGTGGCTTTTTGTTGGGGAAGTGTCTCGCTTTTCAGGATACCCGGTTTGGGGGTCTCAAGGGAAACCAACGGATCCAGCGATTTGCGGTTTCCCTCGTTTTTGGAAATCGCCGCTCAGCGGCCTCTTCAACATAAGGTGTCAACCAGGTTTATGAAAAACAAGAATGGAGAGTCACCTTACCCCCTGCTCCAAATACGGGTATAATGTTGACCCTCTACTAAAAATGGAGGCATTTACCGTGACAAACCGATGGGTTTGAAAAGGGTTGGTTTTTGTAGAGTGCAAATGGGAAACCACCCGGAACACCAAACCACGCTCCGAACCACCGATCTGCGGGAAGCTGAGGAAACACGCAAGCTTCTAGGGTTTGATTCCCCCTTCTTTTCAAGCATCGTTCTTTCCAAAAACCGGATCCGTTTTCCTAAGTTTTCTAGAAAGATTCGGATCCCGGAAAGAATGGACATGGAACCTAGAACTATGGTTGCCCACTGAACTGCTTGCTATGCAGCCTTCATCCACCGTGCCAAGGTACCCCCGAAAGCTCCAAATAGCCAATCCCAGGTACCCCTAGAAAGCTCCTTCCAAGAGAATGTCTGCCTTTTGGCCTCGACCCGCCGGCAGGTCCATCCAATTCAGAGCCCCACGCTCGTGGCTATGAACCCTTTGTGTGGAAATGGGCATTGAAGAGTTTCCTACGGGTCGGGTGCAACACCCATCCTAACAGTGGAAAGTATGTCCCGTACTGACAAGGGATCTCCCTTTAAAACCACCCAGCGCAGATGAGAAAAAAATAACTCCACTTCACCAAATAAACTCGCGAAATCACTTCACTTCACTTCACTCCACTTCACTTCACCAAACGGAAGCTAAAACTGGCACCGCCGGGATCCTCGCGCCTGGGCTCCGGCTCAAAGACTTCGCGGCGGACTCTTCGCGGCGCGCGGCTCGTCTCAGGCCCCGGTGGACTGCAGCTGCGGCGGCAGCGCGGCCTCGATGGTCCGCTTCACCCGGCCCAGCAGCTCCTCGTCCCCGGTGTCCTTGAGATCGAGAGGCCAGGGCTGTGGGGGTGAAACCCCTGGTGAACATGGATATGGGTCAAAATTAAACCACCAGGATATGGACCGCAGGTTTTAGTCCATGTTACCACTTACACTCAATTTTGGGGTTGCCCGATTTTTTGACCCGCAGCTGACATCAAAATAGGTGAGACGTGGGTGTTCATCCGCCCCAAAATGGAGGCGCGTAGGTTGTTGCCTCATGGATTCCCTAGCAGAGGACCGGAGGCGATCGGATTTGTTCGGCGCTTGGGGGGGCGGAGGGCGGGTGGGGCGGTTGAAGTACCCCACCAGCGATTCCATGGGTTTGTGCACAGACCCCTTTAGACTGGGCTGGAAGTGGGACTCCAAAAAAGCAAAAAAAGTAAAAGGGGGAACTAATTCTGGGGAAGTAGAAGGACTACTGTCTTCTTGGAAAGTGCCTTTTTGCACTGCCATGTTCGTTGGGTGTACCATTGGTGCCCCATCCGTATTACGAGTAAACCAACCCTACACCACAAGCCCCTGTATTCATGGGAGCGCAAGTTTTACTTAGGGGAGTCCACGCCAAGTTCCACGGTCTTGCAAAGAGTACCGACTGTAAAGTTTCGGTTGGGCCCGTTGGAAAACCAAAAGGGACGATGTTGATGCAACAGGCGCTTTAAAATTCAGTTGCAATGATTACTTAAAACAACATTAGACTATCACCTGTCTTCAACCGCCATATCATACAGCGACGCGCTACTTGGCGGCCGTTCAAAATGGAGGGCTGGCCAGTCATCCATCATCCCAGGCAAGCCACTAACCCAAGGTGAGTCACAATCAAAACCTGGTACACAAATGGTGACCCCAGAACCATGTAAAGAAAATAGAAAGGCGGAATTCCGCAACTATTTCCGGCTGGGACTGCCCCTTACTAACCTTCATCTAGGTTTTGAGGACGTGGCTCAGGCAAGGATTGAGGACCTTTGAACAGCCCGGCTCCTTGGTGCCTGGAACGACCCTGCAAAAAGCTTATCACTTTTTTCGGGGGGTGGAAAACCCAACTTGATGTCAATCAAAAAGTGAAAGTCTAAAGATCCGTTGAACCCAATAGCAGCCCAGTATTTTGGGGGGGCAGCCGTTTTTGTCGTTTTTTCTTGCGCACCGGCATGGGTTCAGGCCCAGGGGCCTTCACTTCCTCCGCCGAGATCTGGGGGTGGACCACGATCTCCACCCCAGCGCGGTTGCAGTAAAGCAAGTACCTAGGCTCAGCATCCCTCGTCCCCCAAAAGCCATGCACCAGAAGTCAATACCTTTCTTAAACCAAACAGACCTGAAAAAGGACCTGGGTCCAATGGCCATGTGAGCCCCAGAAACAAGCTGTTTACTCGTTTTCGTTCGCAGGCCGGCCAAAAAATGAATAGAACAAAAAAACTACTTCGGGTCTATGGTCATTTGCTGAAACGGGGGAAGGCAACCCTCAGAAACAGGCGCCAGCTTTTGAGACAAGAATCAAAATCGGTGCCAAGATCGAACCCCGAAAAATACGGGGGTTCCCTTTTTTTCGCCACTCCAAAACGCGGACTAGATCATATAACCCTCGGCTCGGAAATTGCTCCCCAAAGCAGCTCCAAGTGTTGATTTCCCCCAAGTCGACTTCAACCCAGCACTAAAATTGTCTTTCAAAGGGAAAAAGAGGTACCTCTAGGTTGAAGCCCCGTGAAGGTAAGAGAGAAACATTCAAAGGCTGAATGTATACGGTCATATATAAGCCCCTGGTATGAACCCCTAGTTTATGGGTGACTTAGCCGCTGAATTATGAGAAATCAACTCATTTGGGGGGTTCAAAGGGCCTTTGGGTTCATACAAGGACCTATACAATCACTCAGCACACCCAAAAAAAACACAAAGAACCTGCAGAAGTGACGTTCGAACCTTGCACTCAGACTCCTGAACGAATTTGCACATGGCCCACCCAGAGCCATGTAAAGAACTAAGAAGGCGGATATCCGCACCTATTGATGGCAAGGGGACAGTCCCTTGCTCACCTTCACTTGCCCGAGTTTTGATTGTGACTCACCTGGGCTTTCGTCCACAATGGATTCCCATGGGTTCACAATGGACATGCAGTCACTCAGCACCCAAACAGAAAAGAAAAAGAACCCCCGTGCCCTTCGAAGCTTCGAGCGGCTCCTTCTTGCTGGGCATCAGCCTTCCGGTGCCCCGAATCGTGATCGGCTGCACCGGCACACCCGCCTGCGGAAGGAAATCGGGACCAACAAGAGCGCGCCTCCTATTACAAACAAAAAACATGGATATGCATACACATATGCATACATGTAAGTACGCAACTATATCAAGATATTTGTAGGTATATACATATATGTATATAAACGTGCATCTGCAGACATCTATATCTACAGCTACATATATCCATATGCACAACATCTATGTACATGTATACATACCATACATACATTATATATATAGGTAAATGTGTGTGTGTGTGTGTCGTGTGCGAGCCTTCAAACATCACCAAGTGAAATACGCACAAACACGCCAAACCACAAACTTGGACCCTACCCTACACCCACTTTGAGTGTTTCAGGGGGTAACCCCAACCTTTGTGCTCTGTAGTTCCCGGGCTGCAAAGAGAAGAAGGCCCCAACCTAGCCAGACCCCCAAAACCGGATCCAGGTCGATGTCGACCAGAACCCTTGAGAAAAAAACACACAAAAAAAAAAAGACTCGGTGGGTTGGCCAAAAGTGGTTTGCCACTCAAAATGGCGAAAAACCAAGCTAGATGGCCAAGTTGCTGCTTTTTTTCAGTCACTGCTTCTGGTTGTTGGGGTAAAGTTCATGGAAAGAGAACTGGCGATCCAGGAACCCTAAAAAATATGCAAGTCCGAGTCCCGAGTGATATCCCCAGCCCCCCCAGCCCGGAACCATAGCGTCCAGCTGGGAAAGAAAGACAATCTGGAGGTCCGAGCCCGTTGAACCCCCCCCCCTCCAGCCACCCGAACAAAAAATGGAGAAAACAAAGAAACACATGTAAAACAAATAACAAAAAAAAAAAAAGGTGGCTCGGCGCCTCGCGTTGCAAAAACTTCCGAAGCGCGCCTTCTTCGCCATGGAGATGGGCCCCCGCTTGAACTCCAAGAGCTTCCTGAGGAAGCAACTTCTTAGGGAAGGATTTGTCGAGCCATGGGGTTCCAGCCGAAAGGAAAGCAACATGTGCTTGCTTGGGTTTGTGTTTTTTTTTTGTGAAAAGCTGAGCTTCCCGTTTGCTGACCTTCCCTGGAACAAGCAGCTGCCTGGATCCCCCAGAATGATTTGGGTATGGGTCCAAAAGATGCACCCAAATGGCACCCTGGTAAATGGAACCAAAGAGAAAAACCTGCCCTGGCTCTTCAATTTTGAGCAGTTTGTCGCACTATGGAACCCCAAGTAGCTACTTTTCCTGGCTGGGGATCCCTACTATGGAGAAGCAAGTCTTTCCAAAACTGCGCTGGTAAAAAAACCTTGGTATTTGAAGCAAGGGGAAAGGGTATGTCCACCTAGCTGTATTTGGATCCATTAGTACCCGGGGTAGAGGACAGTGAGCCGAAACGGAAGCAACATTACTCCCCTAATGCAACCGCGCATGAGCCGCACAACCCCTGGTTGATGCTGAGAGATGATGTTGGAATTTCAGACCACTTTTGTAGCCCCTATGAATCGAACCGGTTTATCAATCTGGGCTTAACATAACAGATTGACGAGCAACCTAAAACGGGAGTCCGATCCCCAAAGGAGTTTCCTCTACTGACAGGTTTTTGTGGTTTTATGTGAATCTGGGTAGGGGGGGGGTAAGCCTGAGTTTGTGTCCATGTGTGTGTGTAGTTGTTTTTCTTTGTGCCTTATCATCGCCGCACAAGGGTAGCCTGATGTTGTTTGTTTGCTTGTTTGTTTGCTTGTTTGCTTGTTTGTTTGTTTGCTTGCTTGCTTGTTTGTCTGTTTGTTTGTTGGCTTGTTTGTTCGTTTTTTTGGGTGCTTGGGTTTGCGTGCGCCTGTTCTGAAAAAAGCACCCACGACCCGTGGACGCAGGCCGACAGGTCGAAGGCGTCCTTTTGGCTTGTCGGAATCTGCGCTCGAAGGCCCCCGTAAGCAAAAGGTCGTTCGACCTGTTGCAGGTTTGACTCGGAACGTCGATTCATGATTAGACTTAGGCCCAGTTATAGAATGTACATTCTAGTGTTTGCTTCCCTTTGAGTCACTGGTAAAATGAAAAATGTTTCCTAAGCCTAACCCAGGATTCGTCGAGGTCCAAAACGCACCACGCAGCTACCGGATCGCGGAGATTGAAGGTCCAAAACTGCCTGAGATCCATCGGACCCCCCCCCCCCAACCCCCATGGCCGGAACCCGGCGCGGCAACTGGGCCGAAGTGTCCCGTCCATGCTCCGGGTGCCCTCAGGGAAGATGAAGATGGAGGTGCCCTTCTTCAAAGCATCCACCTTGAGAGTGGCTGAACCGGAAGCAATCGGATCCACTCAATCCACCAGTCAGCTTCCCTCAAAAGGCTGGGGATTGGAGCTGTTGCTGATGAGGTTGGGTGGAAGAGCCAGGGGTTGAAAATCTCAAATCAAAAAAACAAGTCCTAGGTCCTCCAGTAGAGAGGTTCGAATAAGGGTACCCAACTTTTTTCTGTCGTCTATTTTAGTAGACAACAAACATGAAAGAAACGGTAAAAGGGCACCTAGCTGGGGGACCTAAAATCCCCGAGTTGTTTAGTCGTTTTGTCATTCCAACTCAGCCCATCAAACCAGCAAGATCATAGCCACCTGCGACGAGTGGAACTGCAACCCTGTGACGGAGAATACGGCTTGCTCAACCCGCAAGCTGCCAGAACACGCAGCAAACCCCTGCGAACAAATGCCTTGAATCATGAAAAACGTGTCCACCTAGATGGCCTAGTTGCGAGCGCAACTTTCAGTCACTGTTGCTGGTTTTGGGGGTAAAGTTCATGCAAAAAGCGATCGCAACTGGCGATCCAGGCAGTAGTGAAATCGATCCCCGATCAAACAAAGGGGGAAAACTGGAAAATTCATGCCGGCGACCACAAATATTCGAAGCATGGGGCACGCCTGGTCTGAACCAAAGAGAAGGAAAGGAGGATTTCTAGCATATCTCTGTCCAACCCCATGGCAGCCACAAAGCCTCTGTTTTAAGAACCCCCCCACCAAACAAACAAACTCAAAACACATGCCAACTATAAATGAGTAACTGAATGAATGAATAAACAAGTACATCTAAAACAATATACGGATATATATATATATATTATAAAAATATACATATATATATATATATAACATTCCAAGAGTGAAGCTCTTGTGGGATTTCTGAGCCTCACCTCCCGCCGCGCCGAACCCGAGGGCCCGGCGCAGGCGCGGAAGGCCGCGACCTGCGAGCGCCGGTCCTCGCGCTGGATGGTCACCGTCTTCGCCCGCTTCATCACCTGGTTCCATTTCGCCACGTTCATCCTCCTTTCCCAGGAAATTCCCTGAGTTTGCCCATGTTTAATCTTCTTTTCCAGGGATTGGGCCATGTTTTAGCCTTCTTTCACCAGGTTTGGGCCATGTTTTACCCTTCTTTCACCGGATTTGGATGCGTTAACCTTGATTTGGCCCATTTTGAACCTCCTTTCACCGGGTTTGGGCCATGTTTTAACCTTCTTTCACCAGATTTGGTCCATGTTTTAACCTTCTTTCACCGGTTTGGGCCATTTGTTCACCTTCTTTCCCTGGTTTGGGTCATGTTTACCTTCTTTCCGTGGTTTGGCCCAATGTTTTAACCTTCTTTCACTGGTTTGGTCCATGTTTTATCCTTCTTTCACTGGTTTGGTCCATTTTTTCACTTTCTTTCACTGGTTTGGCCCATGTTTTAACCTGCTTTCACTGGTTTGGTCCATGGTTTGTCCTTCTTTCACTGGTTTGGTCCATTTTTTCACTTTCTTTCACTGGTTTGGTCCATGGTTATCCTTCTTTCCCTGGTTTGGTCCATTTTTAGTCAAGGTTGCAGAAGGCAAAGTGGGTGATAACTTGTAACCAAGGGTCTTACCCAAAGTACCTAAAAGGCGATGCCATGGATTCCAGATTCCACCCCAAAAGCTCGAAAAAACCTTTAGCCAGGTGCCTTCTGGTGTAGATCTTAAGCTACCCAAAAGGGGGCGATCGAGGCGATGGGTACGTCAGGAGAGGGGTGAGAGATTTTGCCTGGTGAAATAACAACCACTGAGGGGAGACTTGGAACCAGGATGCTTTTCTGGGTGATCTCACCAATGGTTATAACAACCACTTACTAACTTCCCGATCGCTCCTTTGATTATGACCCAAAAACTTGACTACTATTGGGTTGGATCTTTAGACTTTAACTTTTGGTTGAAATCAAGCTGTGCTTTCCACTATACCCCCCAAAAAAAGTGAGAGTCTCGCTTTTTGCAGGGGTCGTTCCCCTGCAACCAAGAAAAGGGGAAGAACAAAACAAAAAATCTACTAAGGGGTTGCCATAAACGGAGGTGTCCAGCAACCGCTCCCTTCCCCCAATTCCATTTTTAAGGGTGACCAGACCCAGAAAAGTGGCTAAAGTCAATTCATGAACCCGGGAAGTGAGACCAATCCAAACGAGGCTACCTGCCACGTTTTTCCACTTTTTTCCACTGGAACCTGACTAGTAGCCCACAACTTGATGCAAAAGAAGCTGGAAAATAAAGCCCTTGCTGGGGATCCAGGTAGGGAATACCACACTACCTGACAAGGCAATGACGACGCAATGAGCATTGCGCGGCCAGGAAGCCCCGAAGAAGCCGCAAGAAAACACGGGGAGGGGTGGATGCTGCCCCTTGTGCAAATTCTATGGACACAAACACACCTCCCACCTCCAAAACACCTATCTGCACATTCGACGGGGGGTTGGGCCTTCTGTATACCCACCCACACGGCCGCCCCGAACACCCCGAACCTCAAAAGTGGCGGGCATATACAAAAACCAATCTAAATGATCTCCGCCAGCGGGTCCCGACTTGAAAGCTTCATGCCCAAACGATACCCATCTCGGAGGGCCAATTTTTTCCAGAACCTCCTCCAATGTCACTCAAGTCTTCGAGAACAACTTGTGAAACCCCCCTTAAAACACGAAGAGCATACCTTGGTTGCTGTTGACCCCTCTGCAAAAAGTGAATAATTGTTTGGGGGTTTAGTGGAAACCCCCCTGGATTTCAACCAAAAGGGTTGAAGTCTAAAGATCCGTTGCCCAATAGCAGTCAAGATACTTGCGTGTTCTGCTAAGTTCGTGGGTATCACTTAGATCGCCAAGTTGCTTTTTTCGTTTTTTCAGTCACTGTTGCGATCGGTTTTTGGGGTAAAGTTCATGGGAAAAAAAGCAACTGGCGATCCAGGTCCGTTATAACCGACTTTCAAGTGGGATTAAGCTTCTTATTAGGGGGGTTACAACCCAAGTGGCGAACCACTGACATGCCCTACGCCTCTCCCGAAAGCTTCCCGCGCGAGCGAAGGCATGTGCGGGCGAGGCGCCCATCCCACCAGCGGGATCTTCAGGATCGACGATTTCGAGACGAACCTCAGGGCTTTGACAGTTTCCGATTGGAAGCGTTCCCCTTCCAAGACGCTGAGGGTCCAAAATGGTTTGGGCCGAAAAGCCACCCACCCTGAAAAAAAAAGGAAAACAAACCTTTAAAAAAATGGCCCTCCAAATGGTTTCCCCTTCCAGGGCTCTGGGTCGGGATGGCTCCCCCACTATTTGCATGAAATCCTTCATGCAAGCCCTCGAAACCCAGCACAGGAGGTCTGGGTTGAAGCAAAAAAAGAGCTCGGGAAATAGACGAGGTCCCTTTTGCGCATGCGAATTCAAGCGCTACTTGGGTGTTTTTGGGGGGCCGAGTTCGTAAGTTGTCAGAAACCTACATGAGAACCGACTCATAAGTCCCAAGTCCCCCCAAGTCGGGCACCGGGGCCCTTCCTTTTGAGACCGCTTCTCTCTCTGACTACAAACCGGGACGCTTGAAGGACCGAAAGATGTGGTAGGAGGAGAGGATGTCCATGAAACTCTGGTGGTTCGCCACGTAGATGCACGCCTTGCCATCCTTCCTCGAAAGCTTGACGGAAAAAAAAGGCCAAAGTCAGCTCCGCGGTTTGGAGCCGGAGCCGAATCGAAGAGTGGTTTGGTAGAGGGGTGGTTTCCCATTTACGCTCAAGAACCAGGGGTTCTCCCCAAACCAAAAATCAGATTTTTCCGCTGTTTCGATTTCGGGTGCATCTGGTTGTTGGGGTGGTTTTACAGGGAGACCAAAGCGAACACCGATCATTTCGGGGTTCCCTGCTTTAGGACGCACCCATTTACGTAGCCAACACCTGAGTCACAACCAATACCTGGTACTCAACTCTCCCGCAAGACCCGCACTTCACCCACTTACAAACTTACATGAAACCTGAAAATTGAGCGGGGGGAGGGGGTTTTGGGGAGGGGGGGGGACTCCTGCCTCCTTTAAAAAATGGAGGGCACCCGAATGTGAAGCCTGGTGCAGTGGCCTACCTGTCTGACATGTAAAGACCCAGGGCCCCAAAAAAAAACCAAGTTTCGCCTCCTGGAAAAATGAGACCTTCTGTCCAGTAGTGAAATCGTTTCCCTTCAAAAACCAACAAGGGGGAAAAAACAAACATAATTTGCAGCAAATGGAAGCCTGCCCCCTTATCCGTTGCTTGTCTAGGTCCTCCAGTAGACAGGTCAGAACAAGTTGGTACCCGACTGTTCCCAGTCGTCTCTTTTAGTAGGGGAACCGAATCTCCCCCTCCCAACCAGAAAAGAAACGGGTGAGAGGTCGGGCCCCAAGCCCCGATCGCCGGGGGACCAAGTTGTGGATGGACGAAATCCTGCACCACTGAAAAACATACGAAACCATTGTTGGCTGGTAGTTACAGGGGACTCATCATTCCAGGGTTTCTTTGGTGGTGCAGAATTTCGGCCATCCACAGTAGTTGTGGTCTCATTTTTTTCTTCCGGGCGTCGGCAGGTGCTCGCCTCCCAGCACCTTGACCTTGAAGTAGGGCCACACGGTCACCGTAGACCTCGCAAGGCCGGCGTCGCGGCCCACGCGTCGCGGCCGGCGTCGGGATGGCGGGACGGCGGGAGGGCGGGACGGCGGGAGGGAGGGGTGAAAATTTGATCAAAGGGGCAGGGCACTTAGTACCCCAAGACCCCAAGTCATAGAAAACCAGCAGGAAATTCTCCAAGTTACCCTAAGTCATAGAAAACCAGCAGGAAATTCTGGAGACCAAGTGGGCCAAACACCCACCAAAACCTGGGATGTGGAGAACTTCCTGTAGCGGTCGCCCCATAAGGGGCCCTTCACCCACACCAATTCCTGAGGGGCCCGGACAGAAAACAACCCGTTTTGAAAAACAAATACAATCCGGAGCCTTAGGGGAAGCGGAAGCGGGTTAAGCCCGTGGAAAGACCCACGGCACGGAGAGTCCTCACCATGAATCGCTTTTGTGGGCAAGAACCAGGCTTGCCAACGACTTCCTAAGCGACCTTCCACCCAGTGGAACCCACGGTCCCAAACGGAATCCGGATCTGAAAGGAGGAAAACAAAACGCACATCTTTGGGGGGCACACGTCGCCCCCCGGTGCCGAATCAAAGGGAAACGGGAAGGCACAGGTCCCTCCTTATTTTGGCCATTCACTTGCAAAGGGTTAGGAAAACAAAAGGCACATGCTTGGAGGGCTTTTGTGGGTTATAATGAGGCTTCCCAACTACTTCTTAAGCGACTTTCCCACCCACCTGGATCCCCAAGTAGCCACTTTTTTCAGCCACTTTACCCGAGTAGCGCATCATTTGCCAAACGTCGCTGGAAAATGCTTTGGCAACTGGCTAGGGATCCAGGCAAAGGGTTTGTCCGAAGGTCCCAAAGGAAATGCGGCCAGGGGCGCCACGCGCAGATGATGAGGTCCACCCACTTCCGCTGCTTCCGCTGCGGGTCCAGAATCATGCTCCCGAGGACCGCAGGCACCACCCACACCTCGGTGTCAGGGAAGTCTTCCACCCCTCTCCCCGCAAAACCAAACAAAAACAAGCATGTTCCGCTCCCTCCCAAAACCGACCTCAAAACTTTTTTTTACAGTCCACTTCTTGCTTTTTCTCAAAGAAGAACAAAAATAATTCCTCAAAGCTGGCGATTTTGAAACGGGCTCCAGATTTATCTGGCATCTTGCTCCTTTTCAACCAACCCAGCCCAATGACGCATCCTAGAAAACCGGTTTCGATGTGGCTTTGTTGTGGCTTCGCTCCGCTGGAATACTAGAAGAGTACGAAAAGAAAAGCAAGAAGCAACCGGTAAAATCCAGAGGCACGTCCAAGCCGTTCGCTAGCGGCATATCCTCGAAGCTTCGCACATGCTGCTTTTGCTCGGAGAAAAAGGTATGGAAAGTCTACCCCGCCACCTAACATGGAACCTGACGTTCGGGGCCCGGTCACTTTCAAAGGCCCACTTTGTGCAAACCCGGCCCGATCCCCCGACCGTCCAAAGGGCTCGAGCCGGCCATCCTCAACTCTCTGGCGCGACGGGGGGAGGAGAAATGGAGCGAGTGAACCCAGTTGGCTTCCCGAAGGGCGCCATGGGATGATTGCGGGGCCAGGCCATTTCTCACCCGCCGAGCACAGCAAGCTACACCGGAAGGACCCCTTGGAACAGAAGCCGTAGAACTCCCCGGCCAGACAAGCAGAAAACGGCCTCGAAGCTGGGCTCAGCGGCAACTTGGCCACTCAGGCAAAAGGCGTGAACTGTTTGTGAAAGAAAGGGTGAAAAAGGATAGAGATCCAACCCAAGGGTGTATGCACTTCTTTGGGGATTGCCCTGAAAAGGCTTGGTTGGTGGTGACCCCTCTGCAAAAAGTTTAACTTTATATAAACCCAATGTGACAAATTACTGCTTCAAGCGAAAAGTTGAAGTCTAAAGAGCCAACCAAATCGCAATAAAGAAGGATATGACCCGCTGGATCGATCCTTTCGGCGGTGGTTTCGACCGAGGCGCGCCCCCTATCAGCAAGGTCAGCAGCAAGCTCACCGCCCTGAACTGCAGTGGGTGAAAAGGCGAAAGCCTGCTTAGGTGTGAAGGGCCAAATAAGTTGCTGGTAAGCGGGGTTAACCTCTCTTCTGTCTCTGCTTTTTTTTTTTGGTTGGGGGGGGGGGGGGTAATAACCGAAAGTGGCTAAGCATTTTATGCATTTACTAACCTGGCCAAACCTTCAAATCCCAGTTTGAATTTCGGTGTTGGTTCAGCCACCACTACTCTACCACTATTGGGTTAAATCTGTAGACTTGAACTTTTTGGATCTCCCTCATATTTCCGTTTAACCAGCAAAAAAAGTGTTTAACTGTTTGCTGGGGGATCTACAGCACGCAAGACTAAACGAAGACAACTGAAAATTCGAAAGTTTGGCGTCCCCAAGCCTCATTTTGAACCCATTGGAGGGTCTGGGAACTCCATTTGGGGGCATGAGCCCTGCAGTGGGTGGCAAAAAGCACCTCCAAGCTTGTTTTTCATGGCAAGTGGGAAGGCACACACACATTCTGCCCAGAACATCCAAGATAAACCCAGTTGCCCAAAGCCCACCTGTTGACCTTGTGGTGTCCCCATTGTTGGGTTCCCAATTTGAGTCAAGGTCCCAGAAGGTGATCACCTGTTATTTCCAGGTCCTCTGGGCAAGAAGCAAAGCTAGGTCCTCAGTAGAGAGGTTAGAATAAGTTGGTACCCGATATTTTTTGGTGAATTTTATCGTAGTAGGGGAACCCAAGAAAGGGGAGAGAAGGGCACCTAGCTGGGGGACCTAGAAAGGACAGCACCAAACAACACGCTGGCGGCCTCCCAAGAAGCAGGGAAGCGCTTTGAGAAGAGCGGCCTTTTGAGCAAGGGGGTTGAAATATAGGTCACCTGTTGGAAATAGTTGGGTTTCCCTGGCAAATGGAACAAGACCTATCTAAGCCAGTGGAACCCATCTGTTTCTAACAAACCCACCTAAAAGGAACATGTACGGGCCTGTTAGGAGAACCAAACCATGCTTGGTGCAAGGGTGTCCCGTGTCCTTTCTCCCCAAGGAACGACCAAGGAGGTCAGCGAGATAGCGCCCTGGCAAGTGGACACTTTCTGCCACCGCTTTGTAGTGGAAACCCGGGATCAATAAACTCATTACCCAGAAGGTTGCTGCTTTTTTCAGTCACTGTTGCTCGTTTTTGGGGTGAAGTTCATGGAAAAAAGCAGCAACTGGCAATCCAGGTACTAATAAACTCATCCTTGGGAGGGGGGGTCAAACACACAAAACGTACTGGATTCCGACAAGAAGGGGACACCCTGCTAAACATCAATTCGGAAGATTGCCCGCTGAATCTGCGTTGAGCTTAGGAAGATGGAGAAAGCCGCCCGTTCCCTCCGACTTCCGGCGCTGGAGATTGAAAAATACGTCTGACCGTCAATTTCGCGAACCTCAACCAGCAATACTCTCGGTTGACGTTGGAAGGGGAGCACAAATTGAAATGTTAGCAGTTAAGTGGTTGGATTTCAACCACTAAACCGCAATAAGCGAAAATGCGAAATGCTTCCCAATAACAACCACGTACCGCGCATGGCTACGGAATCCATGTTGCACCACTTGGAACGCTTCTGACACCACACAATTCATAAACATGGTCCCTGCGCGGCTGATAGGCAGTACCGGGGGCATCGAATCAGCAACCAGTTGGATTCTGAGCGGTGGTTTTCGAGAAGCGGAATTCGCCGCCCTCAGAACTTGACATCCCAAACCCACCTTTACGACTTGGATCCTCCAAACTGGTGACCAAGAAGGTGCGCTTTGCCACGACTTCCCTCACTTCCGATCAAGTGGATTGATCAGGAAAAAGTTACCCAAACTGGTTCGTTTGCCGAAAAAACTGGCGACCAAAACCAAAAAGTGACGATCAAGTCCATGAACTCAGGAAGTCAGACTTGTCTCAGTCGGCAACCATGTCAACCCTGCCCTAAAAACCGCACTGCATCGCCCAATTTGGAAGTCCGAGTTTTCCGGAACTCGGGGGAGGCAGTGTCTTCCAGAACCCCCCCCCGCCCCCCGCCCCAGCGCCCAAGCGCCCCGCTTGGGGCACGCGCGCGCGCGCCTGACGCAGGCGAAGATTTTGTGCCCCGGCACGTGGGAGCTGGGCGCCACGAAGCGCTCGAGGTCGCTGGAGGCGTGCAGCGGGGCAGTGGAGCCGAAGGAGCCGCCGCGGAGCTGGGGGGAGAGGTCCTCCCGGGGGGGGGGGGGTGTTAGGCGGGAGGTTTGGGAGGGGGGAGAAGCGATTCATGGCAGGGGTGGAGTAGAGTGGAGGGGGGGGGAGGTGGGAGGTTTGCTGGGGAGGTGGGAGGTTTGGTGGGGAGGTGGGAGGTTTGGTGGGGTTTGGTGGGGTTTGGTGGGGTTTGGTAGGGTTTGGTGGGGTTTGGTGGGGTTTGGTGGGGTTTGGTGGGGGGAGGTGGGGGGAGGTGGGGGGAGGTGGGGGGAGGTGAGGTGGGGGGAGGTGGGGGGAGGTGGGGGGAGGTGGGGGGAGGTGGGGGGAGGTGGGGGGTTGAGCTTCGCCGAGCCTGCTCCAAAGACCTTCCGCTCACACCAAATGCTTCACCCTGGCCGTGGCTGCCCTGCACCAGTTGGCATTCAGCAGGGGCAAGGGGCGAAAGGGAGACTCAAGCTCATAGCTAGGCTCCGCGTGCTTTTTTGCACAGTGGGATTGCAGTTCCGTGAAGCTCACCTCCTCAGTGTAGCAGACTTGAGATGTCCGGGCAAGTTCGCAAGTCGTGTTCGCCACTTGGGTTCCAACCCCCAAGATATAAGGTGACTCCCACTTCGGGGGACTTCTCAGTGGGTTGTAACCTAGGTTAACAACTTACTAACAAAGCGAATCGAACACCCAAGCAGTAACATGCTTTTCCCAAAAGTTCCGTCCAACTTGGTAGAACTCCAAAAGTGTGGAGTGTGCCTTGCTCAAGTCCTCAAGTCCTGAGGAAGTAACAGAAACCGAAAAATACCCTACATTTCGGCTTGAGAACCCCCTGCAAAAGGCAGCTCACTTCAAATTGGCAACCAAAAGGGCGGAGTTCAAAGGGGAAACGGGTGTCCCTATTTCGCAACCATCCACAGTATGGGTCTGTGTTTGTTGGGAGTTGGTACCCTCCCCTTTTTTGTGGCCAAAAGGAAAGGATCCAATTGGGCCCCCTGAATGAAGACAGACCCACAACCAAAAGGACTTCCCAAAGACTAACCCCATGTAAAGGGGGAGATTCCAACTTGTATCACAGAAGTGGGGATAAACCCTTATTGATCCCACAACCCTGCATATGACCAAAGTGGTCCAGCCGATTTTTCTTCCTGGCCCCGAATTGACGAAACACCACGCCTGCCGCTGTTGGGGGTGTGAGGAGCCCACCTGGCGATCTGTTTGAAGTTGGCGTCGGATTCCAAGGAGTGAGTCGCAATCAAAACCGATCGGTGCGAAAATGAGACCATGTACAGGGTCATGATTTTGACTGTTTCTGGGGGTTATCAAAATCAGAAAATGGGGCTGTTTCCCTTTAACCCACCACTTAGGGGGTGACTTTGATCATGCTAAAATAATGGGGCCAAATGTATCAGCTTCCCAGGGTGGTTTGGAGGAGTCCGGTGACTTGGCGGCTTTTGGAGGGGTTGCCCATTTACAGCCAGCGGTTCGAAACACCAATCCAAACCAAAAACTACCCCCCTGCTCCAAATACCCGCCTTTTCTTTCAGTTATCAGAATCCGGGTAGATGAAGCATGGCAAGGGACAATCCCAGCCACAAATCTGTGCAGCCGCCTTTGAAATTCTTTACATTCAGGTATCCCTTACCCCCTACTCAAAATACCAACTTTTTTCAGGGTATTTTTGGGACAACAGATCGGCTTTTCATGGTAAATCATACATCCTTGTTTTAATAGAGGGTCAACATGATACCTGTTTTTGCCGACTCGGGGGTGCTTCGGGAGGTCTTTTGTTGAGTTGGGCAAATGCGGATTTGGGGTTGGCCTAGGGATGTAAACTAGGAAAATGCCAGCGCCGAAACACAAAAAAACCCACCTGTTTTAAGCGGCTAGTCAAAGCGAGTGGCAAGTCCGTCCGGCGGCAGATCTTTACGATACCTATGTTGGGGGGCTGGTGGAGACAAAAGAGCTTGGATTCACCAGATCCCCAGTTACGCCAGGTCAAAAGGACTTCCAGCGGCCGCGGATGTCACAAGAAGACCAGGGTGCAAGGAAAACCCTGCAAGTAGTGAAGTAAAGGAATCGGAACCAAACCCCCCCAAAAAAAAGGCGAACACAAATCGGAACCCTTCCCCCCCCAAAAAAAAAACAAACTCGAAGAAAAACAACTCGAAAAAAAGGGCAGCAGTCACTGGGCTCCAGCAAAACAAACTCCCCCCCCCATACCCCTCTCGCCAGATCGATCCATCCGAGCCGCAAAGGCACTCCCCAGCGAGAGTGCAACGGCCAGCAGCGGCAGCCCGATGCTGATGGGTCGACGCCGCGCTCGTTCCCGCGGCTTCATGGCGTCAGAAAAGAAAGAAAAAGAAAACAAAAAAGCGACCCGAAAGAAAAAAAACGAAGAAAAAAACAGCAGAAGCCCGGATGGGCAAGAAATTCCTCGGTTGGAAGGGTGAGAAAAACCTCAATTTGCGCGGTTGCGCGGTGGTTTCAGTTTCGTCGTGTTGAGGGCCGCGTCAAAAAAATGGACCGCCCTGCTCTCTCGGTTCTGCCCTGCGAACCGCAGTTCCCAAGCTTGGGCCAAATGTCGCGACGCAGCCTGCGTGGCTGAGGCTCCTTAAAATGGCTGAGGACCTCTACCCACCTCTAACCAAACTTGGCTCAGAGCCAAAATAGGCATAACACCTAGTACTCACTGGAATAGGGTAAGGAACCCAAAAATCCGTGGCAGGCCTTGTGGCCTTCCTTTAACACCATTCTTGCCAAGGTACGCTCCGCTAAACCCAGGGACACCCCCAAACAGTTCTGGGGCTGCTGAATCCGGTGTTCACATTACCCTCCCCGCCATGGTCCCCGCTCGAAGGTCCCTTTTTTAGGGGAAAGGCCCGGCTCCATTCTCACCCAAGAAAAGGTTGTTCCTTTTTAACCTTGACCATAAAACCTGTAAACGTTACTCTAATCCCGAAAGCTGAAATAAGAATTGGACCCCAGTACAGGACCAAAATATCAGGTCTTTTGCTCGGCAAATGCCCCCTAGTGACCTCGCTATAAAATATCTGGTACCCTTGGTGGTTTCGGGATTTGTGAATCCCCTCCTAAACCACCTATTCGGCTCCAAACCACCCTTTTTTGGAGGGAAGCTGAAAATACCCCCTACACCCAATACCCGTGATTGTTTCAGATGATGTCGGCCCTCTGCTAACAAAGGGATCGGTATGTACCATGGAAAACCGATCGGTTGTTCCAAAAAAAAGACTAGAAAAAGGGGGTATCTGGAGTAGGGGGTACCCGTAGTTGGTGGTTTGGCTTGGTTTGGACCTTAGGGCGTACCTTCCCACTCCAAAAAAAACTGGTGAGGGAAACCCAACTGGGAAGCTGAAAACAGGCAGACAAACGCCCAAGCTGGGGGAAACCTGTTGCCCAATAGCCGTCAAGTATTCAAACCCCCACTTTTGGAGCTTCCACAGGAGGAAGCCTTCTTCAACCCCACCAAAAAAGCATAGGCCTAGGTACCAAGCTGGAGGAAACCCGCAAAAATTGAACTGCCTCGCCGAGGGGCCGCCTTGGTCGCGACCTGCTCGTCTTTCGCAGGCCTCCGTGCAAAGGGCCTCCGGCGGAGCGGCAAGGCGCGCTTGGGATGACTTCAGGAAGGATTCTAGGGGTTGAGCCCCCATTCAGTGTCCAATGCAGGGGTCTGGGTCTTCCATTGAAAGCCCCAGGAGTGTCTGGGTAGAAGGTAGACTTCAGGGGTGGTCGCCTTTTTTGGGATGACTTCAGGCGACGGACAATGTAAAGAAGTGAAAAAGGCACCCATTTCTGGTTGGGATGTTGATTGTAGCTCATACTGTGGATGGACAAAATATATTTCTCACCACCTGAAAAACATGGGAAACCCTTGCTTGTTGGTATGTACACAGGGGAATCATGAGAAACCACAGTTTCTTAAGTGGTGCAGGATTTTGTCCATCCACAGTAGGGATACCCACAAAAGGAAAGAAGGGCAAAGAAAGATGCCTTTCTTTCGCTTTGGTTTAAACTTTTCGGGCTGGTTTTGAAGGGAAACCCGCTCAAAAAGGAGAGAAGGGCAAAGAACGAGGTCGCCAGAAGCCATTCCTCCTGAAGTTTTGGAGAAGGGTTTGCCACATGCCGCATCCAATACCTTGCCCCTTGAAGTCGGGTGCTTTGGAGGTTGATTCAAGGGACAGGGTACGTCAGCTATGTGGTTAGTACGCCTGGTGAACAAAGACCCACTGAACGGAGACTTACACCCATGGCTTTTGTGGGTTATAACCACTTAGATGCGAACCCAATTAGGAGACTTATACTTTTGTCGTTATGAACAAAACACTTAGGCGCAAACCGTCAGAATCCATCCCCAAGCCGCCAATCTAAGCCAGCGCCCGGAGTGACAAACCCCCGAGTTTACTAAAATGGTGTTTGGCCCCTCCAAAAGTGACCTGATTCCCCACGAAGACCGGGGAAAAGCAGCCCATGAACTCCACTGGTCGGTTGATTCATCGGTCGTCAGACCCTGGAAAGGGGACCTCCCTTTGCTTCAGGCTGGACGACTCAAAGCGAAATGGCAACCATCCCCCTGGGCCATCCTCCGGCTTAGACACCCTGGCTTTGTTTGCAAAGATGAAGCGAACCCCCCCCAACAAAAAAAAGGGGCTAAGTCTGGCAGGGAGGCCCAAACAAAAACAAACCAAAACAAAAAAAAGCCCAGGAGCACGGCTCTAAGGTCTTCACGGCTCTAATTCCGCACACCGAAAGATTTGACCCCCCAGGCCCCAGGCTCCCCCTCCTCAAACTTCCCGCTTGTTTCAGGTGTTCTTTCATTTTTTTAATGAACACCGATCGGTTTTCCATGGTAAATACCTGCTTTTTTGGTAGAGGGTCGACATGATACCAACTGAAAAAAGCTGGGGTATTTGGAGGGGCTCCCTCTCCCTCCCGGGCCTCCAGGGCACGAGCTGCCTCAGCATCTCCTCCTGCCGGTCCAGGCGGTGCATCACCTCCGGAGGCATCGGAGGCATCAGACCCACCGATTCACGTGGAAACCAGAAGGGAGGGTGGAGTAACATCTTGTGTCTAAGTACCTGTTTCTAATTCTTCCATTTGGTTCAGAACCCTGGAACAAATGCCAAAATATGCCCAGTAGTTTTAAAAATTCCTCTTGAACACCAACGAGGGAAAACAAAAATGTTCTTATCGGCTTGCCCTCTCCAAAACCCACTTGTGATTTTGTTGGTATACATATCAACCCTTGAAAAAAGAGATCGGAACTGTGAATATACTATGTCTACCCCACTAATTAACGTGGAAACCAAAAGGGAGGGGTTCCATACAGTGAGTGGTTACGAAATCCATTTTGCACTGGAATGGCTGCCCCTAACATAGTCTTCCCAAACAGTTTCTAGTCCAGGAACTCAGGCTGTGACGTAATCAATCCCAGTTGTTGTTGTGCATTGATCACTTTCCTTTTGGACCGGAACCTCCCCGCTGTTCATAGCGCATGATGCGCATGCCTCTTTCTGGGGTCCCCCTCAAAGTTGTGATTCTCCGGGTGGTGTCCCTTTACCATAACAACGGGGGAACCACAAGAAAGGAGAACCCTCGTCGCGGCGGGGGGGGGGGGGGATGGACAAAGGACACCCCTTTAAAAGGAGAGGGGTTCTACAAGCAAGAGGAACCCACCAGAGAAGAGGCCCCTTTTTTAAAGCGACATAGTCTTGCACCGCTGAGGGTAAGCCGCAAAACGGACACACATAAAACGCATTGCTGGTGCTCCGGGAACCAAGGTCCAGGAACTTTGACATCGACATGGATCCCATCGCCCCGCCCCCCTCCCCCCCCCCCCCACGCAAAAAAAAACAAAAAAAACGCGCGCTGTCCCCTAGCGGCGTCCCTTGCCAACGGAACGTGGACCCCCAAAGGACCCCTTTTTTCTGCCTTTGTACCCCTGTTTGTTTTGGTCAAAGGCAGAAAAAAGGGGTTCTTTGGGGGTCCAGGAAGTCGAACAAGGGAACCGCCCCCCAAAAATCACAAACACACACACACACACACCACTGGGAGAGATTGCGGGAAAAGCCCAGATTTATTCTGCGGGAGAACCGCGCCCCATGTGCAACCCAAGGGTGTTTCGAAGGACTGTGGATCTCGACGTTGAGAATTCCTCCAGAAACTCCGGAAGCTCCTTTTGGAGTACCCGACCAAAAAAAAACATGACTTGTTGGGTTCGTCCAGAGGGAAACACAAGAACCAACAAACACATATGTTTTCGAGTCTCGGTTTCCCTTTGTAGGTGTTCAAGGGACAGGCGAGGGAAGACCAAAACGACCCCCTGGATCGCCAGTTGCAATCGCTTTTTTCCGTGAACTTTACCCCAAAAACCGATCGCAACAGTGACTGAGCAAAAAAAAAAAAACGATTGCAACCTGGAGATCTAGGAATCTCGGCCTTTTGCGACCCGAGAGACGTCCGCATCGATTCCCGATGCACCCGTCGATGGATATGTTTTCTCCTCGGGCCTCGCGGTGCTGAAGGTCCAGGAGGGCCCGGAGCTCCTCCGACTGCTCCCGGCTCTGCGAGGAGCTGCCTGGCGGCTTGGGCGGTTTTCGGGGACGAGCACCGGGTGAGACCCTTGCCTAGCTCCTCCGGTAGAGAGAGGCTGGAATATAAGGATACCAACTATTTTCTGTGGTCTATTTTAGTTGGGGGGGCGTGGGAGCACCGGGGGAGACCCTTACCCCCATAACCTCCAGATACCCACTTTTTCTAATGCATTTTGAAAAATATAACGGGTTTGCATGGCAGATACCTCCTTTTTTAGTAGAGGGCCGACATCATGGCCTGAAAAAAGATGGTATTGGGTGTAGGGGATACCCTCCTGTCCCACGTTGCCATGAAATTTGACTGAGGGTCCCGTCTCAATACTTGAGGAGCGGGTGAACGAAAGCTAGCAGTTGTTGCATGAGATGGGTCGGTGACAGAGTGGATTCATAGGTAGCTTGTGTACAACGAGAGGCCCGGCAAGATTCGTAGGATGCGACACGCAAACGCACATGGTGGCGTGGCAAACCTTGAAAAATGAACAACGAGAGGCGTCACAAGCTGTCTCAAAGCACCTCTGGGTTCTGCATGCTGCGTGTGCAAAGATTCTTGCGAGGTGGTTTACCGAGAAGACTGAGGTCTCAAATGAACAAGCTGAATCGGTGGAACATGTAAAAGTTCGTAGCACCAAGTCCAAAACGGGCAAACCGAGACTGCTAAACACTGAGCCACTGCCTGGGGGGGGGGAGGATGGACCAGGGAGGAATCGAGCCTGAGACCCGGGGGGGGGGGGGAGGGGGGGGGCTAAATGATTGATGTTTTTCAATCTTTCGGCTCAAATAATTGAAAAAATCAATCTTTCGGCATTTGAGCCCCTTACCTTGCTTACGCAAGGATAAACTTCAGCTAGCTAAAGCTAGCTTTCGTGAAAAAATGGTAGAAAAACCAGGACCCCCGGGAGGTTCCCGGAGGCTAATTGCCGGATGCACTACACGTATCCTAATTATCACCATAGGCGCTTGTATTTACACGCGCATGTATATATACATTGTATATATATATATATATATGTGTATTCATGTGCATCTATATATTTTTTAATGTGCGTGTTTAGCTTCATGTGGAAAAAGTACGCGTGGACTGTTTTTCACTTCAATGAATGCTAAATAATACATATATATATATATATATCAGTATAAACTCCTCATATGAGCGGCCAATCCCTCATAAGCTCGTAAACGCCTTGAGGAGCTACCGGGGTTCCTTGGTGTAACTCTTCAGCCTATTTTTTGCAGATGCTCTGCACTCTTCTCAGATCTGGTTTTGCCAAGCCACTTGCTTGGACCTCCGCTTTCCCCGAAACATGTGGAGCTTGCTTGGGTGCGGCTTGCTTATGCAATGCGCACGGACGCCCCCAACCATAACAACCACATTCAACCACACAATCATAGTAGATTAGGGCTTATGCCAGGATTAAAAAAAAAAAAAAAAAAAACGGTATAAATTGCCAGTAAAATCGGAGAATCCGTTTCCGAATTTCCCCCCTCAGCCACGCGAGACGTGTCGTCTCCGCATCCCAGAAAGCCCGAGCCCATCCTCGCAGGGCCGCGCTGACCTGCTCGCCCTGCTCGTTGGACCAAAGGTGGCCTGATCGGTGGGCCAAAGCGAGACCACCAGAGGACCGCTGCTAGGTCCTCCAGCCTTGAGAGGATAGAATAAGAGTACCGACTTTCCTATTTTACTAGGGGAACCCTCGCCCAAAAAAGTTGGTAAAAGGGCACTACTGGGGCACCTAGCAAACCACCATGAGACCGCTGGTTTTAGTCCATTTGTCCATATACCAGGGCAACCCCCCAAAAGGGTTGGGGCAAACGGCTGCCGCTTTGGCCCATATACCAAATCAGCGCCAGGAGAGGGGCTTGTTCCTATAGTGGCCAGCAGCTGTGCATTGGCTCGGGGCACCATGTTGTCTGACGAGTGCGTGCATGCATACATACAGTGGATGGGCGAAATCCTGCACCACCTAAGAAACGCGGGAATGATGATTCCCCTGTAAATGCCAACAAGCACTGGTTTCCCATGGGTTCAATCTGGTGCAGGATTCCGTCCATCCACAGTATTTTCTGTATATATCTACATGCATATGTATATGCATAGCAACCCTATACACAATGCTTCCAAAACCTCCACGCGTCCTTTCCCCCCACTGGCAAGAATGGACTTCGATTGCCTTTAAGAGGGGAAAAACTGAAACGCAAATGGAAGAGAAACGATTTTGCAGCAAGAGGGACCCATGTGCGAATGAGCGCAAGTTTGCCCCAAGGGAAAACCAATTTTGGGCACCTGGAACCCCAAGTGGCTACTTGTTTCCAGCCACTTTACCCACCAATACCGCCCAATTTGGCAAAAGTAGCTGGAAAATGAAGGCATCTGGGGATCTGGGTACCCCTCTTTGGCACATGCCAAGATGGCGTCCGCTTAAAACGGGCCGAAAGAAAACCACGCCCCCACCCCCAAAATGGTGTCCCCTCTGAAGAGGGCGGAGGGCGCCCATAAAAAGATTTAAACAAAAGAGAGAAAAAAGAAGAAACAAAAAAGGGGGGGAAAAGGGGAAAAAAAACGAACAATATCCGCCGACATTGCTCGGCGTGTCGGATACTTACTAGAGGATAGAGGATAACCCCCCCCCTAACCCCCCCCCGCCCGACGTCTATTACGTAGGTTTTTTGGGGGGGGGGGGGGTCCCCCACGTACCGCGCGGCAATTTGATGACGTTCCACTAAACGTAGTCTTCGGGGAGCCGGTGTCGCAAAACAGGGGTCCCAGGCTCGATTCCCCCTGCCGGCTTTTTTGCTGGCTTGGGCTTCCTGCATCCTTTTGCCGAAAATCTGGAAAAACTCAATGTTTTTGGACGTCCTCTTTGCGAAAACGCTGGAAAACCGTGTTTTTTTTGCGGGAAATACTGGGGAGCAAAGGGGAAGTGCAAGGATACATACATACATACATACATACATTACAGTACATTACATTACATTACATTACATGACACATGACATTACATGACAACCATACTACGAAAACATTACACATACATTACATACACATACATACATACATACATACATACATACATACATACATACATACATACATACATACATACATACATACATACATACATACATACATACATACATACATTACATACATACATACATACATACATACATACATACATACATACATACATACATACATACATACATACATACATACATACATACATACATACATACATACATACATACATACATACATTACATACATACATACATACATACATACATACATACATACATACATACATACATACATACATACATACATACATACATACATACATACATACATACATACATACATACATACATACATACATACATACATACATACATACATACATACATACATACATACATACATACATACATACATACATACATACATACATACATACATACATACATACATACATACATACATACATACATACATACATACATACATACATACATACATACATACATACATACATACATACATACATACATACATACATACATACATACATACATACATACATACATACATACATACATACATACATACATACATACATATGTACATGCATGCATACATACGAGAGAGGGAGAGTGGGGAGAGAGAGGCTTGGGGGGATGGGGAGGATGGGAGCAGAGGGAGGGAGAGAGGACGACAGAACACACAAGGGAGACAAGCAAGAGAGGAAGAAGGAGAAAAGGGAGAGGACAATGTCGGCGGACTGAGCCGGAGGCTCTAAAGTATTATCTATTCTTTCTATTGTTGCTATAGAAAACCCCCCCCAAAAAAAAAATAAAAAAAATCAGGCGTCGCCAAAGCTGTTGCAGGGGCCGCCGGCCTGGGCGCACGTCCGCGGTGCGCTGTGGCAGCTCCACCTCGGTGTCCTGGCGGCGGCACCCGAAACCCCCCTCACCCCAGCCATCCCTAAACAAATCCACATGGCCGGCTAAAAACGTACATCTAGGTCCTCCAGATTGGAGAGGTTAGAATAAGGGAACCCACTCTCGTGTTTCTTCTTTCTTTTTTTTCTTCGGTAGTCTGTTGTAGTGGGGCCCGCTAAAAGGTACCGCCAAGTTGCGATCGCTTTGTTCAGTCACTGTTGCTGGTTTTGGGGGTAGAGTTATTAGAATCGGCATGACCCATCATTAAACGCAGTGTACCAAGTAAGATATAGCTAGGTCCTCCAGTAGAGAGGTTAGAATTTATGCAGACTATTTTAGTAGGGGAACCCTCCCCCAAAAAAGGCTGGTACAAGGGGGACCTACTGGGGGGACCCTAGTCAACTCATGCGCATGGGGGTTTACTAAAAACGTACATGTTAGGGGATGCCATGGCGTGAAGAAAGCGGGTTTGCGACAATTCCCTCTCCAAACAGCCGCCTTTTTTTGTAGGGAAAATCTGTTTTTTTTGTTTGTTTTTGTTTTTTTCCGGAAAACCGCTCGGTTTTCCCAAGAGAAACACCAATCCCTTTCTCAGTTTCTAGGGGTTGAACTTGCCGGTGCGGTCGGCAGGGAATGAGGGAATGACCCCGAGAAAAACCCATCCTGTAGCTTCCCTTTAAGGGAAACCTGTGTTCAAACCTACCTTTTGAGGGAAGGCCTAGGTTCATTCTTAAAGCCTGGACCATTCCCTACTGAGCACCCGCAAGAATTCTTTGCGGCGATCCTTCATTCCGATCCTCGCCAGTGCCAAACCCCTCGACGGCGGAATCCAAAAAAAAAGCCGCGACCCGAAAATCGGATCCTGGGGGTGTCTCTTCTCTGAGGGTACCCGTGTTTTTGGTGACCTTGGGAAACAAGGACAACCACCTTCCATCGCCAGGCAAGCGATCGCTTTTTTTCCATGAACTTTACCGCAAAAGCCGATCGCAACAGTGACTGCCCAAAGCAGCAGCTTCGCGATCTAGGTTCCTTTCTTTTTCTCTTGGGGCGGGGGGGTGGCTCCCCCCGCCCATTCAAAGGCGGATGGATCGCTCGAAACACCGAGCGATCAACCCCATGGAAAAATCAGATAAGCATCGCCCACGAAAACTATGGCGATAAGTCTCCGTTCAGTGGGTAGAATTGCACCCGGCTTAGAAACCACTTGCTAAGTACCCTGCCCCTTTAAGTATGAGGTTTAAGACTTGGAACACCCCAAAAGTGGCTTTACATGAATCCCCACTGCATTCTGATGTGCCCAACCACTTACATTCCCACCAACAGTGTTAGGTAGGTTGAAAGGGAAACCGAAAGGAACACCAATGCCATTTTGGCGGTTCAAATCTCGACTCACGACTAAAAATGTGAACCCACAATTGGAAAGCCACAGGTCAGGTCGATTCGGGTTGGGCAACTTTTGACACATATCCCAATGGGTCTGTCTTTTGGTTAAACCAAAACCTATCCTTTCAGGGCGTCATGTCAACCCTCTACTAAACAAGGTGGCATTCACCTTGGAAAACCAGGTTCTTCGGAAAAATCCCCTCAAGAAGCAGGTCTTTGGAGTAGGGGGTATATTTTGGGGGTGCACCCTGCAAAAAAGCCACACCCCCTACTCAAAATACCTGTTTTGTTCATGGCATTTAGGGAAAACCTGGTTTTCCATTGTAAATACCTCCTTTTTTGGTAGAGGGTCGACATATGATACCAACTGAACGAAGGCCGGGCACTTGGAGCTGTCGGGGGTCCCCAACCACTCAAACCAAAATTCCCCCAGCGACTCATAGTTCTCGACGACTCGGTTGAGTCCCGCCTCCCAGCGCGGCGCGTCCCAGCACTCCATCTTGGTCTCGGGCGCCTGGATTCGTCGATTCGGCTTCCGTCGGGAAATTGTCCGTCCGGCGCGGCAGGG